GTGACATAGGACTTGGGAAACTGAGAAGGATAAAAAGACAAATCAAGATTCATAAATCTTGAGGTAAAAGCATCAATGCATAATTATTAATGAGGCAAAGAACAAGGGAATGAATGTTAGATTAAATTTTGTACTGTTCATAGGGAGGTGGTAGGAAGAGCTCCTTCTCTGCTCCTGAGCTAGATGACAAGAATCTGAGCTAGGGCATGTGCCACTTCCCAAGGCTGATATTTAGGGATGGTCCTTCTTGACTTCTGGGAAAAGAGAAGGCTGATGGGGCAGTGAATCAGGGGATGATGATGAAATAATGACACACGAGATCTGGAAGCCAGCCCACTCACACCTGTAACCTGCATGCTTGTGCAATGCCCTTTGTACAGACAGATGCTCACAATGAATTCCTGGGGACATGAGAATGTCTGAGAAGATCCTCACCCAGGAGGAAAAGAATTTCACTCTGAAGGAAATCTAATTGACGATTCCAAATGAGAGGGAGTAAAAATTCACTCAGGGTCAGGGTTTTGTCACATGGCCTTTGTTCAGTGACTCTAAAAAGTTATCACTTACACAATGAGGCTTTGTTTTCTAGGTGGAAATTACCATTCTTTCCAAGGCAGTGAGAAGCTGGGCCACTGCCCCTCCCTCCTTGAGAGGACTGTTTGCAGAAGAGGATATTTGTAAAGGAGTCTGAAGACTAGTGGAGGAAGAGGAAAACCATTGTAACAGTTCTTGACTCATTAATTAACCAAGAGAGCCTGGCACACCCTATCTGGATTTGACTTACTGTCTTGGCATTGGTTAGGATAATTGTGAACTTCAGAAATGTACAAATGCCAGACTTTCGTATGATTTTTGGCAATGTTGAAGTGAAAGGGCATTCCTCCATGGACAGAAGAGTTTTCTGTGGATGGGAAAGGATAGTCTTACTGCTAATCGTTCTAGGAGAAATTAATTCTAGGATTCAAGGTGAGGATAGGAGGATAACCACTACAGGATAGGGGGAAGGAAAAGCTTCTCTGTCCTTGGAAGCCAGGAATCATTTTGGTTTAGACTTGAGGTTCTCTCTGCTGCCTGGAACATTTCTGTGGGTATAGAATTAGATCTGGGAATAGGGTGCTTACTATGGGAAATCAGGAGAGGAGGGGAGCAAACAGGAATTCTTGGATGTCTTCTATGCTGGGCTGCAAGACACTACAAATAGGTCACTCTTGACTTAGCTTTCCATTATTCCCAAGGCATCAACAGTCTTTTGAAATGACCATAAAGTCAAGACTGATTTCAGTGGTTTTCTGGGAAATTAGTGGAGGGACTCTCATCACATGATCATAAGTAATATTCCAAAAGCACTTGCAAGTTATCATTCTATGGCAGAATTCATTTTGTGTCACAAAAAAAGACTATTCAAGCCAAGCTTTAACTTGGTTTTAATTTAAGCTTCTTTTCATATAATTCACTTTTCTTGGTAGCAAATTTGTTTCAGATAGTATATGCTTTGTCCTGGTGGTATTTTATAAAAGTGTCTTGCTATATCACTGACCATGTAATACACTAAGGTGAGTAGGTGTGTTAGACCAGTTGGTGCTGAGTTGCACAACACAGTCTGGCTTAGTGGGGCAAGGGTCAGCTCCCACCTCCTAAGAATAGCTACCTTTTCCATTGCCAGAGTTTCCTCTTGGGTACAAATGGATAAGGCTACTAAATTATCTGAAGTTGGCTTTCTGCTGAAAATGTTATAATTCACCTGGATTACTGAAGTTTTGTACTTTCATCTAAAATCTTCCCATTTTTAATCTTTCATATTGCTACTCTTGTCTTTCAAACTAATAACATAACAAGGGAAAAAAATAAATTGCCTTTCCATTCTGGTCCATTTTACGTTGAGCAGTGACTTTCTACTGACTTTACAATTTGAGGGATAGGATATTAAAATAAAGACATGTCAGGAAAGAGTAATGTAGGCAGGTGAATTTGATCAAAGTAATTATATGTTTATATATCAATATCACAATGAAATCTCCTTTGTACAATTAATTTATGTAGATAAAAATTATGAAAAAGACATCTCAGAAAACCTTTTATGCTTTATGATATCTCATGATCAATTAAAATTAATTTTACTATAGAAGACATCCAGTTCTAACTATATTCAAACTGAAACTCACCTTTAAAATAAATTTTCAAAAGTTATAATCTAATCAATGGATAAATTATTAATAAATAATAAATAGTAAATAAATTAAATAACTGATAAACAAATTAATTTAAATTATAATCCACACAGGAAAAATATAAACAATTTATTGCTAAGTCATTTGATGTTGTCACTACAACTGTCTTTAAAGATTTTTGTCTAAATTATAAACATACTGTTCTACATTAGAACTTAGACTAACACAGTCAAGATGGATATGTGCATGCTATAACAAAACAAGAAATTCCAAATAATTACTAATTCTATATTCAGTTATATCCTAATGTTCATATTGTACTTAGGATTTTACAATACAAATTGAAAGTATTTCCAATACCCTTTCTTACAGTATTTCTGGAAAACATTAATACAACTTTTATTTTGTAGGCACTACAAGAATGTGATAACAATTGTCGTAGTCAGTAGTCTTAATAATATCCACTATTCCAAAACAACGAAAAGACAGTTTTACAGTTTTAGTCACTTAGAAGACAGTCATAATTAGGTTGGACTCTTGTTAATCTGAAGACAAAGTTAAAATCATAGAAAAATGGACACATAGAATAAAATGTATATGCATTGGACCTATCTTCCTCTCTCTCTGCAAATATATACATACACATATGTGCATTCATATTCATATATAGTATGTACAAAAATTAAGGGAAAGCCATATCAAGACAGAAACAGGTTCATTAATAATGCATAAACCCACCCAAATGACAATCCTGTAACAGTCCTTATTAACACTTTTTTGCATAGAATGGATCATTCTCCATTTCTTCCAGGATGAAATCCCAATCTTCAATTTTCAGATGGTTTGCCATGAGCTTTTCATATTCTGATACCAAGCCACAGGCCTTCTTCCATCTAGCCATTCTGTTCTGAACCAGGGACCCCTTTCTGTCTCAGAAATGTGAGAAGCTGTCACAAGTCCCTCCAGAGCTGTTGACTTTGCTGGAACATTCTCCTCCCCTCCTCCCCTTTCTCCCAATCTCAAGCCTCTTTGCTTCTTTAAAGCCTTTTTCGGAGAGTTAGAGATCCTGCTCTAAAATTTCTTAACACCTTCAGTTTAATTCTTCAACCCTTCACTCCAACAGTGAATCCCAAGGTGGGCTAGGAGGGAGATTAGTGTAGGTTTTCCTTTCACACTGTGTTTTAGAAAAGCTAATTTAACTTGTGTTTCCAAAGATTGGCTGGAGCTGGATGAGACTTTAAGAAGCTTTCCCTGAGGTCCAGAGCAAAGATGAGAGCTTAGAGGATGAGAAGTGAAAACAAAACACTGGAATGGAAGAAGTTTGAAGACCTGACTCCCAGACTAGAAGGCCTTCCTTATGACTTCCACTGAAGGGTGACTCATATGTCTCCTGTGCCTCAGAGATGAGACTGGAAAGCTGAACATATGGGTGACTGAGTCCTGAGAACTGAGGCTCATGAGTTTCAGGGGGAAGTCCCAGACTTTTGGGGAACACATGGTATAGACAGAATTCTAATACAGGTGACTAGGGTGGGGTGAATGAAGGCCTTCACACCCTTTCCTGATTACTGTGGACTGTTCCAGGGTTCTGACTTAGAACTTCTGAATGGACCTTTGAAGTTTCAGCAACATGCTTCTGAGAGGGATCTCCTCCTGAATCCAGCCTGTGGGGGTTCAGAAGACAAAATTCAGTTTAGAGAGAACTAAAGGAATGTACTCCACTCCATAGCTCCCCACTCCATTATGGACCTGCACAATGGGGTATGATGTAGCCTGTCTTACCTCCTAGACTTTGAGTTGCTTTGTGGGGAGGGACCAAAATGGGGACAGGGTCTTCTGCCTTTTCTTTCCTCCAGCTCTCAGGGTACTGTTGAAGGATTTTGGACATTGATAAATGTTTGTTGAGCAATATTAAATTTGTGAGCCTCATTTTAGAATAGAAGGTAGGTGCAGTCGATTTTCCCTTGACCACAAACTGAAAAAAATTTCATCTTAATACAATTATCAAAAAAGTCCTGGATTTTTTTTTTACATGGGTAATTTACATAAGCACCTTTTTTTTTTTTTTCTTTCTAAGAAGGCTCATATAAGGCCATAAAAAATTGGCAGTAACTAAGCTTATAGTGTAACCCATTCACATCCTAGATGTGGAAAAACGGTCAGATCAGAATTTGTCTTGCTTGGTTTACTTTCTGGCACACCAAATAAAATGCTAGGTAACTCAGGAGGTTGGGATAGTTTTCTTTCTGTCACTTTATTTTATCGTGTTAGTGACGTCTGGAGAGAATACGTGTGTTTCGTTTCATTTCGAAGACATTGCCAAGCATTTGTTCGGGATTTGAAGGGAGGATCCTCTGATCGCATCACAAGGGTGTTTCTGGCACCCAGGAAGGCCGAGTTGGGGCAGGCGAATTTGGGCTCTGCACTAGGAGTGCGCAGCGTCAGCGCTGAGGACGCCCGGGGACAGTCTGGGCGGCAGCCCAGCGGGCAGACGAGGGGCGTGGGAGCGCGGGCAAAGGGAGGGCCGGGGACCGCTTTCCCCAGAGCTTGCGAGCGAGTGAGTGCCCGGGCGGCCGCGGGGAGCGCAGGGCAGGCTCGGGCAGCTCCCCAGCAACGCTGGCGGTGATAAAACTTGAGAAATAACTAGGAGGGGCCGTTCGACGTCTTCTGGGTCCAATCCGGTTTCAGGAGAGAATACGCTCGGGGCAGAGAAGCCTGAGAGAGGCCAAAGCGACTTCAAGAAGAGCGGTAGCAAGAAAAGCACCTCGCGCGCCCTCTCTTCGGCTTCCCTGCCCCGCGCCCCGCGTCCTCCTCCCACTGTCCCGCGCTCAGATGGCCGCCACCGGCCCGGGCGCCCGCTGTGCGGAGCCCTCTGCGGGCAGCTGCTGCTGACCATCTTGGTGAGCCACGCGATCCCGCACCAGGGGGCCGGGATGGGGAAAGGGGTGGTCACTTTGGGGGCAGCAGGAAGAGGGAGGGCAAAAGGTAACATCTGCCGTTTAGCTCATTCCTGCAGGGCAGGTACAGGTCCCAAGTTCGGTCTGGAGGGGTGAGGAGAGAAAAGGACTTTCTGAAGGACGACTCGAGACTCCCCTTTATGTTTGGGGGACACCGCATTACAAGTGGCGCTCCGGCGGGCGCCGTCGCGGGTGGGCGGGGAACTGGGACTCGCGCTTCTCTCCTAGCTCCCAGGAAGGACTGGTGACAGTGATCTGGGAGCCTCTGAGTGGAGGGCGACCAGGAGTTTGATGGTCAGTTATTTAGGACTGTGGAGCTAGCAAAACACAGTGGTGAGATGAGGCTCGAGTGTTTTCCGTCCCTTCCCAGAGCAGGGTCCCAGTTGACCTCGGATGGGGACGTCAGTAAGTGCAAAGGTCGAAGCTGTGCTCCTGGGTGCTGGCGTGGAAGTGCCCTTGAGAAACGGGTTTCCAGGCTATGCCTCTGCTGAAGGTTATTCAGGGGATGCCCCCGAATCATCCACACCCACGCCTCCCGGCTGGCCCGCGGAGGGGTGTGCCGGGGGAGCTAGGCTGTGGGGAGGCCTGCTAAGGGTGGCGGTCCGAGTCGGTGGCCCGGTGGGTGGTGGGAATGGTACTGAGGTGGGCTAGGGAATAGGGTCGGCGTGGAGTGGCATAGGTGCGGTTGAGTCCTACTTAGTCCAGCTTTGGGAAGCACTGCGTGGGCGCAGAGCCCAGCCTGGATTTTCCTGGGCCCTCAAATTCTGCCAGCTGAGAACCAGATTCTCCTGGAAAGGAAGTTTGAGACATTTTCCCAAGAACCGGGGAGACTTGAAGTGAAACTGTAGGAATTCTGAAAGCAGATCTCTACAATGCTGTAGACCTAAACTGAGCTGCATCACGGATGTGGTGAACCCGAGATTTCCTCTCATCCGAAGATGGGCATGGGAGCCTTAGGCGAGAGGCCTGTGCCTGCCTACTGAGCGGGGCCGCTATGACCCCGCAAGGTTCTTGTAGCTCTTCTGTCTCCAAGTAGGATCCAAGCCTTGTCCCGTTTTTTAATCGTTGGATAGGTAGTTATGATCTATAATATATTTTGGACAGAGATATCCAAAATCGAACTGCCTCGAAACTGTTTCACCGAAATATTTGAGTTAATGGAAGAGCTCTTTTCAAATGGGAACTACTCCCCAAATGCGTTCTGAGATGTTTTCTAGCATTTCCATTCAAAAGCATGAATGTGGCGTTTTGTTTTTACCCTGAGAAAGACGTTAGGGAATGGGGTGAAGAAATTGCGGGTGTTGCTAAGATTTCCAGTATTTGCCCTGGGGGAGGGCGTGGAAGGCAAGGTCCCTACTGGGAATTGGGATGGGGGAGGCACAATGTGTCAAGGCAAGAAGGTGCCTGTAAATCTAGAGAAAGCTTCAGCTCTGGTCTATGACATACTCATATAGGTTAGTTTTAGAAAGGATTTCACAGAGTTTAGATGAAATGGTACATTTGGAGATTGAATACTGACAAGTGTACACCTAATGGCGGTTTCTTTCATCTGCAACCCAGTGCGCAAACATTTTCAATTTCGGTCCATATGGGTAAAAAGTTGTCTGTTGATCCTCTCATGCGTGTATGTCCTTTTGACTGTTGAAACACTCAACTTGTATGATATTAGTGACATAGCATTTTGAAACATTTCTCACCTTGTAGAGACAAATACCTTGTAGAGATCTCTTTGAAAACAATTACATGTTCTAAGGAAAGAGCTTGTCAAAGCAAGCATTGAACACAGAGCCTTCACATGCTAGCCTTCCCACTGAATTGGACTTAGGTCGAGAAATCTTCCCAAATTGCACTTTCTTTTTCTTGCATCTCTTTCCCACTGTCCTTCCTTCAGCCACACTTTAAACTGCCATTGAATACAGCTACCCCTAAACACATTCCTATACAGAAGAGAAACTATAAACAAAATACCAGACCATCTCACTTTTGTTGAAAATTTTTATTTTGCAGAGTGTATTTTGTCTTTTAATGTATTAAGAATTGTTAGTGTTGGTGGAAAATAATTTGCATTACATCAGTCGTCTTCTGTGTGTTACACATAATGGGATTCTTTTAAAATGTCTTTAATACTGTGGTCCATATCAAATTGCAATTACATTATCTACTGTTATTATAAATGGTATGTACTTGGACTCAGTCTGTCATTTTGCTGAAAGGACTCTTCTTTCAAAAGAACTAACCTAGTAACATTGGTATATCCCCATCCAATTCTGTACTGCCCTCCCTCCCCCAGGTAGTATGTGAATTCGCTCTGCAATTGATCTTGACAAATGCACATTCTGTCTTTTGGGGTATTATTAGAGTCAGGGTCTCACTATGTATCCCAGGCCAGCCTCAAACTCACTGTGTATCCCAGTGTGGAGACATTACAGTTGTATGTTACCACACCCAGAGTCCAGTTTCATATTATTAATTAATGAAATAATACGACTCCTTGAGCAGAAAGATTCTTTTTTGTTCTTTATAACATTTGACATACTCACCTTTTCAAAATGAAAAGTATGCCCAATTTATATCGACATGTATTAATGAAAAAAGATTAAAGCAAATAAAGTAAGTAAATGAGTGGTAGTTTATTTTAAGCCAGAATCTTCTGAAAGTCACAGTTTTAGCATATGTTTACATTGATCCATTGTCAACTACCTTTTTCAAAGAAGGTTGTTGATGATATTGAGGTCTAGGCAGATCTAGAAGTGACTTTTGGATAACTAAATAAATGTAACCCAGTGCACGTTTTTTTGGCTTTGTTGAAATCTCAGATCAGTTGTCTTCCATACATGGCATCTGTGGTGACCTGTGGTTAATCACACTTTCTGCTTACTCAGAACTCCCACCTTACAATGAGGTTAGGTAAGAGGAAATTTAGTGGACTAGCTTAAGTATAGAGAATAGAAAAGCAAATTTTACATTTAGCTTTGAGGTGGTAAGAATTTAAAAGGTGATATTGCCATTTTGTAGGAGGAAAGTGTCCAGAAGGGAAATGAAAAGTTAACTTGGTATAGTTGTCATGCTCAGGCAAGGAATCTCCTTTATACTTCAGACACTACATACATTTCCACAGTGTGGTGCTGGGAGTGAACTCAGGGCTTGTCCAAGAAGGCAAGCACTCTACCATTGGGTCACACATTTGGCCACATTCTTTAGCTGCTTTTTCCCCTACTGAAGAAAGGTGTCATTTAGAAAACCTTCTTTTTGTATTCGATTCAGACAATTGTAGTGAAGCGACTGTAGAAAACGTCTTTCATTTTCTTTCTCCTTTTGGTATTAGATCTGTCAGTATTTTTTTTTTGGTAATATTGCAATTGTACTTTAATAAAATTTATATATACTGTAAAATGAAACAAAACAATGTATTTCTCCTAAATTTCAGTAGGCAATATTTTATGTTGGGGTGTGTGTGTGTGTGTGTGTGTGTGTGTGTGTGTTGCTTGGTATGAGCCAGGGCAAGCACTGTACCACTGAGTACAGCCCCAGCCCTATGAGTCTTTCGTTTTTTTAAATAACTAAATTGGTTCAATTTTAATTTAAAGTTACCAATAACTCGAGGTTTTATAAATCATGTACTTAAAATTATTCTTGAGTTTCCATTAAAAAGGATAATTTTATAACTTAAATTACCAATCTATAATTCATCCATCTTTTAAAAGTTTTGTATGTTGCACTTATTATTAGGCATTTTTCTATAAAGAAAAGATTTTTAAAATAACTTTAAAGCTCACTTGTTTATTTTGTTAATATAATGCTGTCTTTACTTTTTTATTTTTTATAATTTTCAATAATATATTCCACCCACCCCAAAATATAGTATTGAATTACTATGTTTATAATTTCAAGAAGCAAACTTTATAGTTTCAAGAAGCATAATGTAACTAAAATCTACATATAAATATTATCCCTTTCAGCAGGGCACCAGTGGCTCATGTCTGAAATCCTAGCTACTTGGGAAGCTAAGCTCAGGAGAATCATGATCCAAAGTCAGCCTGGGCAAATAGTTTAAGAGACCCCATCTTCAAATGAACTGGAGATGTCACTCAATTGGTAGAGTGCTTGCTTTGCAAGCATAAAGCCTTGAGTTCAAACCCCAGTACTACCCCCAAAAATTATCCCATTAATCAAGTCACATTCTTTCCGATGATGTACTTGCTACACAGCAATGAAAAGGAATAAGGGCTGGGGGCATAGCCCAAGTGGTAGAGCACCAGCTTAGCAACTTCAAGGCCCTGAGTTCAAACTTCAGCACAGCCAAAAAAGTATGAATGAATGAGTCTGGGCCCAGTGGATCACTACAGGAATACCAGCTACTTGGGAGGTAGAGGTTAGCAGGATGGAGGCTCAAGGCCAGATTGGGCAAAATGTTTTCACAACACATAAGGTAGGTGTGGTATACTCCTGTGATCTCCTCTGCACAGAAGGCCTTGGTAGGAGGATCATGGTCCAAGGATAGCCCTGGGCAAAAAAAGCACAAGACCCTATCTGAAAAAATGGCCTAAAAGCAAAAAAAAAATGGAAGCATGGCTCAAGAGGTAGAGAGCACTTGCCTAGCAAGCACAGGGCTCTGAGTTCAAACTCTTATACCACCAAAAAGAAAAAGAAAAAATGAATGTAATAAAAGGAAAAGACTCATAATTGGTGAAATGGTAAAAACATTCTCTTTAAAGTTAACAAGGCCATTATAGTCCCTGTAGCTGTTTCTATCCGACATCTTACTGAAAAGCCTAAAAAGCACATGAAATAAAAAATATACTGGCAATAATAAAAGAGATGCAGGATTAAAAGGAAAGAAATACAATTGTCATTTTGCCAGCTACAGGATTATCTCCACGAAAGATCCAACACTATCTTTTGACAAACTACTGGAAGCAATAAAAACCAGCAAGTTTCCTGGATACAAGATTGATATTTTAAAAATTATTTCTGTAGGCTATCAACAGATAACTAGAAAACAGAGTTAGGAAGTATTCAATTCACTATAGCAATACATAATGTATTTAAAAATAATCTAACAAAAACGTGAAAGACCTTGATACCAAAAATTACAATGCTTTATTGGAAGGAAAAACCATTTCATAAATAAATGGAATAAATGGAGATTGCGTCATGTTCATGAGTGAGAGGCTCAATAGCCCTAACATGCCAGATTTCCATTAACATATAAAGGCAATGAAGTCTCATCAAAATTTCCTGGAACTTGGTCAGCTGATCACAAAGTTTTTTGAAAGAGTTACAGGCTAAAAGGAGCAAAGATATCTGAAGGGAAAGTGATAGAGCCTAGGGCCGCCACAACAAATGCCAAGACTTTATAAGACTAGCTTGACTAAAACTGTACAGCACTGATGAAGAGATAAACACATACATTAATTAAATAGTGTAGAAAGCCCAGAAACAGATTCTGTACTTGGGAATGAGGACAGATTAAGGATCTGACAGGAAAGGAAGTGTTATCATCATGGTTCTGGATCAACTGGGGAACTCTATGGAAACAAACAAGATTAGGTAGATAAAGTGAGTCATACCTTAAATATTTCATACACGAGGGCCAAAGATTTAAAAATTAGATGTAACTTTACATTTGTAGAAGAACTATTGGATAATATATCTATGACAGGATAAGAAAGGTGTTCTTAAATTAAATACAAAAGCACAGCCCAAAGAAATGATTCATAACATTTATTAAAAGTCCAAAGGAAATACATAATAAAATTGACCACTTTAAAACTGAAGCAATGACTGCCAAAAGATGTAACAAAAAGCAATCCACAGAAAGCTACCATTAAAAATACACTAAAAAGGGAAAAATTAATAGAAGCTTGAAGGATACAAATAGACAATTTATAGAAGATAAATGATAAGTAGCACAAGATGTTCAATCTCACAAGAAATTAAGAAAATGCAAACAGAAACAGTCATTAGATTAATAAAAATTTAAAAAGACAGAATTAATTGTAAGAGAAAATATGAGAAATAGATTTAGTACTTTGGAACTTTAATCTATATTAATACTAGTACTTTGGAGAGTCATTTAGCAATAGCTGGTGAACTGGAAATGGTCATAGACAGCACAGTAATTTCCCTTTTTTCTTATATATGCATATTTTCTTTATATTAATTCAGCATTTTGGGGACTTCTAGGCAGATTCCACAGTTTGGCTATTATGAATAGCAGCAATTTCTATTGCAGGTATATATATTTTAATATCTTGTACTTGCAAGGATGCTCAGTGCAGTATCATTTGTAATAGAAAAAAGGGAAAACAATAATAAATATTTGTCAATTTGGAGGACTGATCAAAATAAACTATTTGTAGAAGAATTTTGATTTTGTCTATACAACAGTTGTATTACCCTGAGTTAATCTTTTACCTTTGTTTAGCAAGATTTTATATTTGACTATAATAGAAGTGAAATATTTCTAGTGGTTATTTGTCTATTATGTTTTCCCTAAGTCACATGAATTTGTGAACTTAAAGAACTGCTCACTGCCAACATGTAGAGACAGAAAGAATCATCTTTACATCAGTGATTTGTTCTTTTTCACTTTAAACAGCTTTATTGAGGTATAATTTATATTCCATAAAATTTACTGCTGCTAAGTGTACAATTTAGTGAATTGTAGCAAATTTACATAATATACAATCACCGCTACAATCCACTGTTAGAATATTTCCATTGTCTTTAAAAGAAGCCTCATGCCCATTTACAATCAATTCCTGTTTCTATGCCCAACCCTAGGTAACTACTGGTCTACTCTTTCTTTCTATGGTTGCCCTTTGTGGACATTTCTCATAAATGACATCATTCAAGATGGGCCCTTTCATGTCTGGTTTCTTTCACTGGCTGTTGTGTTTTTCAGGTTTAACCTTGTCATAGCATGTATCAGTACTTTGTTCCTTTTTATAGCTGAATAATATTCCACTTTATGGATAAGACACATTTTGCTGAACTGTTCACCAGTTGATGGACCTGTAGGTTGTTTACACTTCTTGGTTATTGTGAATACTGTTGCTGTGATTGGTCATGTGTAAGTTTTTGAGTAGTTACAGGTTCATTTCTTTCAGATAGGGTGGAATTGCTGGCTCATTTCTTAATTTCATTTTCAGCTCTTAGAAACTGCTGTACTCTTTTCCAAGTGTTTGTAGCTCTTTATATTTTCCTCATCAATACAGGAGGATTTGTTTCTTCACATTCTCAACAACTTCTTCTCTTCTGTCTTGTTTATTTTAGCTCCCTACCAGGTATCTAATCGTGGTTAATTTTTGCATTTCCCTCATGCCTAATGTTACTGGCATCTTTTATTTGCCTAATGGCCAATTGTATATCTTCTTTGGATAATGATTCAAATTCTTTGCCTGATTTTTGTGTTATTTGTTGTTATTGAGGTCTAGCATATCCTTTTATATTAGAGATATAAGCATTTATTATTTTACTATTTAAACCATTTTTTTCCCATTCTGTGGAACATATTTTCACTTTCTTTATCATTTTGCTTGAAGAGTAAAAAGTTTTAGTCAGGCGCCAGTGTCTCACACCTGTAATCGTAGCTACTCAGGAGGCAGAGATCAGGAGGACCATGATTTGAAGCCAGCGTGGACAAATAGTTCATGAGACCCTGTCTCAAAAAACCCTTCATACACACACACACACACACACACACACACACACACACACACACACAAAATAGGGCTGGTGGGGTGTTCAAAGTGAAGGCCCTGAGTTTAAGCCCCAGTACCAAAAAAAAGTAAAAGTTTTAAATTTTGATTGAGTTCTATTTATCAATTCTTCTTTATTGCTTGTGTTTGGTGCTATATCTAGGAAATCACAGCCTAACCTAGGATCATGAAGATTTACTGTTAGGTTTTAGTTTTACACTTAGGTCTGAGATCCATTTTGAGTTAATTTTTGTGCATGCTGTGATTTAGGGTCCATATTCAGTTTTATTCATGATGCTATCTAATTGTTTCTATGATTTTTTAGAGAGCTTCCTTCCCCTTGAACTTTCTGGATGCTAACCATAAATTAAGGCTAATTTCTAGGATTTCAGCTCCATTCCATTTATCTATATGCTTATCCTTATGCAAACTCCACTCAGTGTTGATTATTTTAGTTTTGTATGAAGTTTCAAAAATTCCTTCAATTTTGTTCTTGTTTTTGCAAGTTTACTTGGGCTCCTCCCATTTCATAAGGATTTATTATCATTTTCTTCAAAAATGGTAGGTGGGATTTTAATAGGGATTGCATTGAATTTGTAGATGAATTTGGGGAATATGTCTTAATTCGTGAAAATGGGATACATCTCCATTTATTTGGGTCTCTTTAAGTTTCTTTCACCAATGTTTTATTGTTTTCAATGAATAAGTTGGTACTTATTTGACTAAATTTATCACAAAGTATTTTATTCTTCTTGATGCTGTTGCAAATGGAATTGTTTGCTTAGTTTTGTTTTCAGTATTTTTTATTGCTGGTATACAGGAGTACAATCAAGTTTTGTAGATTTACCCTATTTCTTGCTGTAATCATTTGTTTTGATGGGGTTTTGTTTTTAAAGTGGATTCTTTAGAATTTTCTACATACAAGATCGTGTAATCTGTGAAGAGAGAATTTTATATCTTTCTTCCCAGGCCATTTTTATATGCAGTTTTTTTTTTTAATGTACTTGCTGTGGCTAGAAACTCTAGCATAATGTTGAATAAAAGTGCTGAAAGTAGACATTATTGTTTTGTTTATTAGACTAGAAAAAAACATTGTCTTCCCCACTAAATATAAAATTAACCATAAATTTTTCATAGATGCAGATTCCCTTCTTTTCCTACTGTGTTGAAGTTTTATTATTTTTTAATCATAAATGGGTGATAGAATTTGTCAGTTGCTTATTCTGTGTCTATTGAGATGACCAGTGGATTTTGTTCTTTATTACATTAATGTGACTTTGTTTTTAAATTCTAGGTCTTCAGTTTTTCTGGTGAAGCTTGTGAAAAGGTGACGATAAATGTACCTTCTAAACTAGAGGCAGACAAAATGGTTGGCAGAGGTGAGAAATTTCAAAACAGTGTTTTTTGAAGCAGAAATTTAGTTAACCTAGGTTGGAATGAGTATTGTATGTCAACTTTCCCTTCTGGAATTGGCTTGAATCTACTTATAAGTAAATGCAATTTGAGAATATTTTAAACATATGCGTTTGCTTTTTACAACCATGTTGAGTTTTGTTGTCGCTTCTAGTGCAAAATTTATAAATCCATGTTTTTGTTGTCACTTGTGTTTTAACAGTTTTAAAATGACACAAATAATTCTATTCAAAGCATAGCACTTTCATTATTCTGGGAGTCTAAGCATTAAAGAAATGTAGATAAGGATTTGAGAGAATCAGAACAGCATTTTCACTCAGAGCTAAACTCAATCAGCCTTTTGCACACTGATCCCTGATTAGGTGGAAAACCTCAGACTCCAACAGCTGGAAGGGTCTGTCCAGCTGGGCTTTCTTTACATGCTGGTTTCTAGAAGATCAAGGGAAACACCATGACTTTTTTTTTTTTAAGAGCTATAACCTGTCCTAGAGATACCAAAATTACCTTTTCAACAAAATGTCCCATTTCGGACACGGGTCATACTAAGGGAAGGCTGCCCACGGGAGAGAGAGGTCATGGGAAGGGAACCAAAAACTTGAATGTGGTTGATGTGCTCAGTGTACAAGAGTGAATATAGAAATCTTAAACTGTCCAGGGCCACCATGGGAAGCTGACTAGGGAGGAGTGAAGAGTACTGGTAAAGATATTCCAGTTGGGGGTGTAATACATATATGCATGGAAACAGCACAAGGAATCTCCCTGTGTAGCTGTCTTTATCTCAAACTAGCAAAAACACCATGTTTCTCTTATTGTCTTTTATGTTTTTTTCTTTTATAAATCAGAGAACAGGGCTGAACATGTTCTGCAGGGGTGGGGGAGGTTGGCACCAGCGGGAGGGGAGAAGTGGCAGGAAAGGGGTAAAAGGATGAATATATTGTGAATAATATATACATATGTATGTAAATGCAAAAATGGTACCTGTTGAAACTGTTTCAGGAATCAGGGGAAGGGGATGAGAGAGAGAAGTGGAGGGGTGAATTCCAGTATGATATATTTTATACATTGTAAGAACATTTGTAAATGCTATAATGTACCCTCACCCAGCAAAATAATAATAATAACAAAAAGTTTCATCAGAAAGAGAAAAAGTTTAGAAAATATCCCATATTTGGTTAAAGTACCTCAGTTAATTTTATTAGGCAAATAGCACTTTACTTCATGTGTGGAGAAATAAAAGAAAGGCTGTAGAGAATTAGGGGTGGTGCTCTAGGGGTACAGACCAGAAGTCATCACCTGACTTTAAATGTGAAGATTAGAGAAATATATCATCATCCCTAAAAATGTTCATTTTGGCTAAATATTTCTACACGTGACAAATTTTGATTAAAGTGTAATTACTATACATGTGTACCTTATGAATCCTTTGGGTGGTGATTCCTTGAGTACTATCAGTTTGGTTTCTGTTAAAGAAGAAAGGGATGGAAAACAGTGATATCTTGATACTTATTTTATTATCATTTGCTAAGAGAGCAAGAACTCCATGTAGAGTTTTACTGGCGGGGGGTGGTGAGGAGGGGCTGGAAAGCTGGAAACACATACCTTAGGTCTATTGCAGAAAACAGACAAAAAAGTGCCAAAGGAAAGAATTCAAGGGTCAATTTTTCTTACTTGACTGCACACTTAAGTCACATGCTCCATTGTTCTTTGTGCTCTTATGTATAACTTTTGGCTGAAGGCAGATGCATCTTAAAAGATTTGAGTGTGTTGTTAAGGAAAACTTCTGAGTGTTTATTCAGGTGTATGTGGGGGTGTGTGGCTCAACTTTGTCATGAGTGTAAAGGCATACACCTCTTTAATTGGAAGAACACTTTCATAAGCCTGTTTAAAGCCCATTAAGGTTTAAGGCATTTATAGAAATTTATAATCAAGAATTACTATTTTTTTAACTGAAAGAAAGCAATGATTTTCTCAAATAATGTAAAAAGACTGGTTAAGATATTTGGTAAATGCAAAGTGACTGGCTTATATCATTTCACTTCACAATTTTGAAGAATGGTGTATAAACTATTTTAACATTTTTCTTTTCTTTTTGTGTGCATTTCTACCTTACAACTGGGAAATTTTGCTTGAAGTTAATTTGAAAGAGTGCCTCAGGTCTGCAGACCTCATCCAGTCAAGTGATCCTGACTTTAGAGTTCTAGTTGATGGGTCCGTTTTCACAGCTGGCGCTCTTGTGCTGTCTGATGGGAAAAGATCATTCACCATAAGGCTTTCTGACACGAAGACACAAATGCAGAGAGAGATTACTGTGCTCCTGGAAGATCAGAAGGTACTCAAAGTACACTGAATATTTTCAGACATGTTCTTTTTACTAAAATACTCTCATTAGAAATTGCAAAGAGGACCAATGACAAATAGGGTTTTCCCTTCCTTTCCCTTCATCTCTTTTCCTCTTCTCCTTCTTTGACTCTCTCCCCTCTTTTTTGTAACATTAATTGCTGGTTTTGATTTTACTAAAAGATGCTTCCATTCTGAAGATTTCTTTTACCTGTAAATTCCAGCTAATGGCATTTGGTACTATTATAACATTCAGAAATTTTTTATTAGTATGAACAACTGATGAAGAATGCCATTATGAAAGTAGTCACAAAATAATGAATAGTTTAAACTGAATTACACTTAACCTATGCTAACTGTATTAATGATAAAAGCTGCTAGCATTTTATTAAATTTTTAATAAAATTATTTATCAATTGATTGGTAGGAAATCAAACATTTTCCTTTTCCATATTGTGAAATAAAATGAGCATCACAAAGAGGTAGAACTTTTTTGCAATTGTAGAAATGTTCTATCATCTGCACTGTCTGGTATGGAGGCCCAATATGAGTGACTACTGAGCACTTGGCACATAGCTAGTTCAACTGAAGGATATAGGTTTCTATTTATATAACTATATTTAACATAAACAATCACATGTCTCCTGGTGGTCAATGGCTACCGTAACAGACAGTGAAGATACCTGAGGCAGTGAAGGACATGCATTTCCTTTCTCCAGTTCACCTGAGAGGATGAGGCTTTAACAGAAAGCACAGCTAAGTGCTGTGAGGAAATTGCTTCAGAGAGGATGTGTTCGTGATCTCTATTTGGGACAGAACAAGAAGAACCAAGAGTATAGTGATGATTTTTTATAACCTGAAAGTAAGGCAGGGTTAGAAAGGTATGCAAAGGAAATTCTGTAATCTATGAAATCTTCAAACTCTGGATAAATTCTTTCTTACCCTTCTCATGCTTCATCACAGAAATTACTGAGACCAAACCTCTGAAGGGAGGTTTATAAGCTGTTCCTTGTTTTCTAACAATGCAGACTGTGATGTTTCTTGTTTATTTATTGTTTCTTTCTTTAAATTCAGGTACCGAAGAAAAGACACACTAAAGAGACTGTTCTCAGGAGAGCCAAGAGGAGATGGGCACCCATTCCTTGTTCCATGCAAGAGAATTCCTTGGGTCCCTTCCCTTTGTTTCTTCAACAAGTATGTTTATGTTATTTCTGAATGAAGGACTTTAATTCTAAGAGTCTGTTTTGTTCAGGTTTAATAACTCTTTAGGTGTTTAAAGATAAACAAATCTGATTGAAGATGTTCATGAAGTGTAATCAAAGTGAGTAAAATGAGAAAAGGAAAATCACTAAAATACTAATAATATGAATTGGACTGTACAGTCAAGAAATGATCTTTATTAATTTTTTCATTCATTTAGCAGATAGTTTTTGAGTACCTACTCTCTCTGTGGCAGGCCCTGCTTTAGGTACTAAATATGGAAATAAATTTGATCCTGGTCCTTACTCTCATATAGTTTATTGTCCTAGTAAAGGGCATAGAAGTAGGTAAATGATAACAGTATTAGAGAAGAGTTCTAGGATAGAGATGATGGCATGATTTGGTAGTACATGGGGTAAGCAACAGCCCTGAGATAAGGCGATTTAAAAAAAAAAGGCTTAGAGAAAAAGATATTTGAGTGGATATTTCTTGAAGGGTGGAAAAATCTTATGCAAGTAAATAATTGTGAAAAAAAAGGGATGTACTTTGGTTCCTCAAAGGGCCCCTGGAGGAAGAAGAGGCAGGTAAGGATCAACCATTATGGACTATGTGCATTCTGATAGGAAGTTTCACTTTATCATAAAAACAAAGAGAAAATTTTAATCAGGGTAACAATACGATCAGGTTTGGTTTTTATTAAGATCTGAGTGGAACATATGCAATGAAAATAATTACTGAAGTAAGGCCATGGCCTTGTGCTTGTCTTTCCTCTTTTAAATTTCTACTACTGAAATTGCTGTTTAGCACTAACAGCATGATCAGTGTGCTACTTGTTCATTTTAAATTATCCTTCCAAAGTCTTTCATACTTATTTTTTCTTCCCTGTGATAGACTCTTGTTTCTTTATGAATAGTGTGCTTTAAACACTAAGGAGGCATATTAAGAGTCTGATTACCAAAGTTATGCTGCTTGCATAACTTTAGCTGTTGCATTGCTAAACCAGTTACTGCTGCTCAAGTCTCATGTCCTTGACATAAGTATATGAACATGCCTTGCTTTTCCCTCCTCCTTGAAATGCTTTCTTCACTCAGCTTCTAAGATACTATTCACCCAATTTTCCACTTCCTTCATTGATTACCATTTCTTTTCTTTCTAGTTCTTCCTCATTCCCCTACTTTTCTCCTTTCAGTTTCTAACTTTGGACAGTCCAGAACTCAATCCATGAACCTATTTCTTCTTCAATTTGTTATATGCTCTTTTATTGATTCATTTTATCTCATGACTCTATGTGCTATTTATACACTGGATAGTTAAGATTTCATAGTTCTAGCCCAAACTACTTTATTTTTATTTCATTAAAATGCCATTGGACATTTCAAACTTACATATACAAATCAAATGCTTGTTTTTTCTCCTAAAAACACCCTCTTGTCTCAGGTAAGCCCAATAGTCCTCTTAGTTATTTGGTCATTTGAGTCTTGTTTCATGAGGTGTTAGTGGTAGAAAACATACATCTTTCAAAGTAGCTAGAGGAATTCAAGTGTGTCAAACAATTTATGTAATTGTTGGAAGGACTGAAGAAACAAACTTACATTGAACATTTTGGAATAAATCCCATGCTAGCTATACCATAGAACCTGCAACCAAAAACATATTGCTTTCTCAGTGGTAAAGAAGACATTAATTCTAGACCACAGTACCACTGCTTCAGTCAGGAAAGCCACCAGTCAGGAGGCCCCTGCTCCTCCTGCAGCTCCAGAACGACTTCTCTAGTGCTCCAACCGCTGTCAGTGAAACATTGACCCACAGTGCTCTGTTGGTACCCAGAGAGTTGGTGAGTGATACAGTTTCTGCTGCTGGAGGAAGAAAGAAAAGAAAAGAAAGCAAAAGCAGCAAAAATGAGACATTTGCCTCACTTATGGCTTCTAAATCTTTTTCAAGTGCATTTGACTGTCCATATATAAATCCAGAAGTTTGGTTACAAGAGATTCTGAAAAAGACAGATTTTGGTTCTTTTTAAAAAATAAATCTAGCATCTATATTATGAGAAGACACAATTGAAGAATCATCAACTAGATCTCGAACCCTAGTTTGCCATAGCCATCTATTCTTCATCTAGTTAAATTTTTAATTCCTGACTGGTAGAAGATACCAGCCTAGCTACATTTTACTGTGATCTGAAATAACAGTGGCTTAAGTAAGACAGACAGTCATTCCTGTTCTACAAAAGTGTGAGGTTCTAATGTGGAAAAAAAAACTAGGGAATCAGGGTTGTATTTTAGCTTGGTCACCCCCGCAGGTTCAAGATGGCTCACCGCTATGTTTAAAAGGGAGAATGCACTCTTTCACCTTCTCGAGAACAGCTGGAATAGTCCACAGATACTAGTTATTTGTATTATGTTATGTATATTTATGTTATCTGTTTTATAATCATTTATACTATTTTTGTTTATATCCTGTTGACCTGACATTCTCACATGGCATACTGAATTGCAAGGCAGACTGAGAAATGCCTTTCTTTTGGTTATCTTTCTGCTCAGCTATAGATTCTAACACTAAGGAAGATGACAGAGTAGATATTGTACAATGCTAGCACCTGATAGAGTGTAATCCTTGACTTCTATCTTTCACCACACATCCAACCCACTGGCAAATCAATCCTGTTGTGTGGACCTTTAAATTATAACCAGAATCTAACTATTTCTTGCTACCCCTCATGCCACCATGGTAATCTAATAAATTATCATGTCTCCTATGAGTTTTTTCAGTATTCTAAATGGTCCCTCTGATTTTTAACTTACCCAAAGAGTTTGTTTGTTTGTTTGTTTTTTAGGACTAAACCTGGCTAGGTGTGATGTTACACATCTGTAATCCCAGGTACTTATGAGGCTGAGGTAGGAAGATCATGAGTTTGAGGACAGCTTGGACTACTACATAGTGAGACTTTGTGTGTGTATTTGTGTATGAAAAACTGAGAGAGAGACAGAGAGAGAGAGAAAATAATCTCAATTTTATTCTTTTTTCTTTTTTGGTGGTACTGGGTTTAGGACTCAGGGCTTCACATGCTTACTAGGCAGGTGCTCTACTCCTTGAGCCATAACTCCAGCCCTTTTTTTCTGGTTCGTACTGAGATAGGGTCTCACTTTTTGCTTGCCCTGGCCTTAACATCTGTCCCTCCATTTTATGCTTCCTGCTGTAGCTGGGATGACAGGTACATGCCATCACACCCAGCTTTTTCCATTGAGATGTGGTCTCACAAACTTTTTTGCCTGGACTTGCCTGGAACTGCAATCCTTCTGATCTCATCCTCCTAAGTAGCTAGGATTACCGGCATGAGCCACCAGCGCCCAGCTGATCCAACTTTATTCTTTTTTTTTTTTCTTTTTCTGGTACTGGGTTTGAACTCAGAGTCTACACCTTGAGCCACTCCACCAGTCCATTTTTTGTGTGTATGATGAGTTTTTTCAAGATAGGGTCTCGCTAACTATTTGCCCAGGCTGTCCTGGAAACTTGAGCCACCTGATCTCTGCCTCCTCAGTAGCTAGGATTATAGGCATGAGCCACTAGTGACCAGCCCAATTCTACTCTTAACAAAATAATAAGCCTTGCCTCTAAAAACATATTTAAAAGCAGCCTACAAAATGAAAAAAGAATGTTGCAAACTACATCTGATAAGCAGTTATTTAAAAAATAACAAGAAGCTTACATAATTCCATAGCAAAATAAATAACTGGAATAAAAATGAACAAAAGACCTTAATAGATATTTCTCCAAAGAAAAGACACAATAACCAACAAGTTCATGAAGCATCACCATTTCATCAAATTAAAACCACCATAAGATATAGTCTTACATGTTAGGAAAGCTGTTATCTACTGGCATCACAGTTTAGTTGGCAAGGATGTGGAAAACAAAACAAAACAAACCTCCATTAAATCAGTTTGTTAAACACATACCTGCACTCACATGTTTACAGCAGCACTATTCACAATAGTCAAGACATGGAAATGACTCAAGAGTCCATTGATGGATAAATGCCTAAAGAAATTCACTGTTTCTGTGTCTATCACTTTGTGTGTGTGTCTTCTTACCTAGAATAATACTCAGCTATAAAAAACACTGTATAGATGTATGGAATTATCACAATGAAATACCCTCATAGTATTAATGTATGATAAATAAAAAAAATGGAAATCTTGTAATTTGAAACAACATAAATGAGCCTCCAAGGCTTTATGTTAAGTGAAACAAACCAGACATAGAAAGAGAAATATTGTATGACCTCACTGATATGTGGAAGCTAAGAGTTTAATTCACAGAAACAGGGCCGAATGCTGATGTCAGGGCCTAGAGGTGAAGGAAAAGGGGGAGATGTTGAACAAAGGGTATACACTTTCAGTCATAAGATGAACAAGTCCTAGGAATCTGATGGGTGATGATTGTTGTATTGGTTAATTTGATTGTGATAATCATCACACAACATATATATATATGTATATGCAAATCATCATGTTGTATGTCTTGACTATATAATATTCATTTGTCACTTAAATGTTTTCAACTGAAAAAAAATCATATAAACAAACAGATGATGTTATTCTCCAATGGCTTTCCATCTCCATTTTCCCCCCAAGGGAAATTCAAACTTCCTTGGACTCACCAAGGATAATGTAGACTCCACTGCCTCTTGACTTCTTCATCTTGGGTCTTTAGATTCCAATGTTGGTGGCCTTCTTTTGGCTTTAGACTCCAAGCACACACTTAGCCTGATTCCCTTGCACTCCCTTTTTCCAGTGTCAGACAGAGTCTTCTCTGTTTCTCTTCTTATTTTGGAAATACTGGGAATTGAACTCAGTGCCTTGCATTTGCTAGGCCATACCCCTAGTCCTTCTGTTTTTCAGAAAGGGTCTTATGCTAACTTTGCCCAGTACTGGCCTTAGCCTCCTACCTCCTACCTCAGCCTCCCAAGTAGCTGGTGCCTTAGGCATGGGCTACCATGCTAGGCTTATTTTTGAGACAGAGTTTCACTAACTTTGCTGGGGCTGGTCTTGAGCTGTGATCCTCCTGGCTTTGCCTTCCAAGTAGCTAGGATTACAGGTGTGCATACCACACATAGACCGTCATCAGCCTTTCTTTTAATTTTTGTTAGTTCCCTTCCCTAAGGTACTTCTAATTATCATTCTCCTCCCCATTATAAGCGCTCCTGTTTGCCTCACCCTAGTCAACCATAAATGTTGTTTTTTTGTCTTTTCTATTGAATTCTTCTCTTTAATATAAAAAATGTATAAAAGCATTATCAGCTGAATTTTTAAAATTGCATTTTAATTGAATTAATTTTAGTTTTTAAAATATATTTATATTTTTCCTTTTAGGTTCAATCTGATGCAGCACAGAACTACACCATTTTCTACTCAATAAGTGGGCGTGGAGTTGACCAAGAACCTCTGAATTTGTTTTTCATAGAAAGAGACACTGGAAATCTATTTTGTACTCGGCCTGTAGATCGTGAGGAATATGATGTTTTTGATGTAGGAGTCTTATTGATAAACATAAATTTATATTACTTAACTGTCTTTCTTATGATACTCACTCCATCTTCTCTTTCCTGTCTTCTTTAACTTTATTCTTAGAAGGTATTTAAAAGGAAAAGGAAAACAGAGTGTGCAATATTTTGAAATGCTTGGCCTATACTTTATTTCAACTTTTGCTAGGTCACCCTCCAATTAAACAAAGAAGTTTAATTATATTTGTATAAAAATTATAGTATATTTTTAGGAAGTTAGTTTTGTGTAGGAAATATGTTCTCTCTCTGTCTCTGACCACTGGAACATTTTCCTTTCTCCAGGACATGTCCACAGTTGATAGGAAAAACTTTCTTTCTCTGTAGCTGTAACTACTTATTTTGTATTCCTTTTATATGTTTGGTTATCTAATCATGTCTGAAAACTAGAAAAGGAAATAAAGCAGGAGATCAAACCTAAATACAGGTTAATAAACCTGAATTCTCATATGAATGAACTTACAGTCGGTGGGGAATAACTCAGACGATTTTCATTATAAAATTGTAAGTACCATAGAGTCATGCACTACCCCTGTGCCCCTGTGCTTCAGGTGGGGGAAGAGTCTTCATTACAGAGAGGAATTATGTTTCTAGAAATGGAACGAGATATTGAGTCACCAACTTGATGGATATCCTCCACATGACATTATTTGCTTTTGGCTAGAAAATGTTCAACTCAGTGTTGTGATTATGTACTGAATAGAAATACATACTATTTGACATTACATTGCTTCTGACTAATTAGTAAAGGGGAAATTGGTAAATGTATTGTGCTAGAAAGACTCTTACAAATATGTGTTCTAAGAGGTACAACAGTAAAATGGCTTGAATGTGACAAGATTAGGAATTGTTGCTTTATTTAGATTATAAAGAAGGGATTTTTCCCATTGAAGTGAATTGAATTGTCCCAATGTAATTTTCCCGATTATGGAGATATTAAGGACTATAACTTGAGTCTTTAGAGTCATATTCAATTCCTCAGAATAATGTGCAGAGTCACCTTGAGTTAGTTGTACTATGAGCTATTTCACAGTTTTATTTGGACTGTAGCCATTTGAACCAAAATACCAAATGCTCTTTGCTATAAAGTGCTATAAAGTGTTTCTCCATTTGGTGCACTGATAGTTAAAAAAGTATTAAAGAAACATCTTTGAAGGGGTTTTATTATTAAAAATATTTGAAGAGAAAAATCTCATCTTCTTTTTGTTACAATCTGGTATCAATTAATTACTGACATTGCTTTTTTTGTACTTTGTAGTTGATTGCCTATGCATCAACTGCCGATGGGTATTCAGCAGACTTGCCTCTTCCACTGCCCATCAAAGTGGAAGACGAAAATGACAACCATCCTGTTTTCACTGAAGCCATTTATAATTTTGAAGTTCCAGAAAGTAGCAGACTTGGTAAGGTTATTTTCTCGTTAAATATGTTTATATACATTTTTTTCAGACATTGAGTCTTTTATACTCATGACCAGGCCATTCTAAGGTAATGCTTGACTAGTCTCTTCTTGTCAGAAAACATTTACTCCCATCAGTTGTAGTCACATGTACCTTATCAGGAATTACGGGAATTTTTGACATTTTCAGTATCATGGTAACTATAGTGGGATCTAAGAGTTGTTCATTCTTCATCCCCTATAGGGTTTATGAATTTTATTTAATTTTGTTATTTTCTCCAAGAGAGGAACTGCAGGTAGAATGAACAACAATACTTAAGGTCATCATAGATATCTTAGTAAGATTTTTATTTAGAGGGGTGTTAAATGCATGCACTAAGGATCCATTTTTAAGTGTTTTTTATGTTCTCTCTTCTCTTAAAAATACTGCTTTACTATGTTCAGTTTAGAATAAATACTAGAAAAACTTTGGAGAAACTTACATCAAAACATTCTCCATCCTAAAAACTTGCTCTAACATTGGAAAAACCAAAGTATTTCAGTTTACTTGGCTCTTAAATGTGGCATCATAATGTCCCCTGAGCCTTGCAATATGAAGAATATCCACAGTCAACGTTGAAAGAATGTAGAGTCAATCATGAAGGATGACTTTGCTAACTTGCCTGCCAGGTTTCTAGAAGTTACTATGCTCTTCACTGCATTTTTACACCTGCTTCTCTTTTTTCTGTTTTACTTTGGTAATTTCATATAATCAGTGTTAACCTATTTATTACTCACACGTACAATTAAAAATCAAAAGCATTGATTCAGAGATTAGGAAAGCTATTTTTTCATGTAAATTCTCTCATTAATTCACTGCGAGAACTCATAGAGGTCACTGTAAGTTCTCTCGTGTAAAGGGAGTTAATTACGTTAGGTGACTGGTATTGTTTTTAGCTTCACAATTCTATGGTTCTATTACATTTTTCCTTTTCAGAGAGGGGTTATTGATTTCTGGTATTATTCTTGAGGGTTCTGAGGCAAACATTTTGATGTCTCTATTAGCTCTGAATGCTTGAAGCACATCACATTAATAGGTTCAGACAAGTAAAGGCTGATAACTACACTATTGAAAGAGAGTGAACCAAGTTAGAGCATAGCAAAAAAAAAAATCATAAAAAGGAGAGACTGGGCTACTGAATGTCACCTTGACCACTGATACAATCATACCCTAGGTCAGTCTTGATTTAACTACTAATCAAAAGTCCAATTTAAAAATATTGACTTACAAAACATGATTTATATCTTGAGTTAGGTTTCTTATTACAAAATGTGGGAAGACGTACTGAAATTATTCTTGACTGCTATTTACTAATTGTTTTTAGTAAGTTAATATCAAGCTCTTTAACACATGAACAAAATACAAGCATACCATGGTTCTGAGCTTAAACATATTTTGTATTATACATTTGAAGTCGTCTTCATCAGTTTTAACTAAAGATGTATTCCTCTATTAAAAAATAATTTTAAATTAGGTTTCCTTTCTCATTGTTAAAATTTGAAAACTGTAGCTCTTTTAAACATATTTTTTGACTCTGGAAATTGAAAGTGCTTTTTAAAATGTATAGGTACCACAGTGGGAGTGGTCTGTGCCACAGACCGAGATGAACCGGACACGATGCACACACGTCTGAAGTACAGCATCTTGGAGCAGAGGCCAAGGTCACCTGGGCTCTTTTCAGTGCATCCTAATACAGGCGTCATCACCACAGTCTCTCATCACACAGACAGAGAGGTAGCTTCCACGCTCTTTAGAATGACATTTTATTGGGGGTTTGGCCTCCTTTGCCCTATTTATTATAATCTCCTATCCTATGAATTAAGAAGTTCTTACTTTTTTAGAAGTATAAGACAATAAAATATCTTGGCATTTTTCCTGTTTTTTAACATTATTTCTATTACCTATGTAAAAGGATCCATAAGAATAGAAACACAGCTCAATCAGTGTTCAGAAGGGTTGAGAAAAATATTTCCTGTGAAAATTATTATTGAGTATTGTTTTGTTTCTTGTGCATGGTTAGTTGGATTCAGCTCAGTAAAGGGTTTGTTCCTCATATAGAACAATAAGTTTGCTTATTTCATGGGTGGAGAGCATATGCTGATCCCTATCCAATTATTATAAATGTGTGTACTTTTTATGAGGAAAGAATTAGTTGAGATAAAATTAATGGATTATTAAAAATCTGTAACACTGCTTAGATAATAGTAATAGCACTTTGTAATATAATAATTTATGCATGAATCTTTATGTATCATTTTATTTGATCTTAATAATTTGACTAGATAGGTATTATAGCCAATCTATAGAGGAGAAATGTGATGGCCAGAAAGTCTGGTTGACTTCCCCAAGTTAGTTTATTCCACAGACTCTTCTAAGCTTTTATTATTATTATTAATTCTCTTTCCATTTTGTTAGTCTTAATGGAGTTTGATGCCAAAGGAAAAAGGGAAAGATGTAGGAATCTATAACAAGAAGTCAAAAGTAGTACAAAGGTTTTAGTTTTCATTATTTTAATTTTTGTAGCATTGAAGACTTTGTTGATGATAATAAATGAGGAAGTTTGAAGGGGACAATATGAATGTTTTTTGTCTTTGCAGTATAATATATAGCGATAATATGGTAATCCAGTCAAAACAAGGCTTTCCCTCATTATCATACAGATCAAAACAGAGGATGTTTAGCAATACTAAATAATTTAAGATTATAAGACTTGTATACTATATTTTTGGGGCCAGATTCAGGTCTATTTGCCTGTTGAAAAAAAATCGAATGGGATTTTGTGGGGAAAAAACATGGAGTATGTTGTGGAGAATGACACAGGAAGCAATGAAATGAACAAAGGAGATAAAGAAGCAGTGAATTTAGGTGAAGAAAAACACAGGGTGTTAGAGTCCTAAAGTGTATGGGAAGTACTTTTCAGAGCGGAAATGCTGACTTATGATGTGGAAGGGAGACAGTGTAAAACGAAGACTTACAGTAAGAGAAAGAATCAGGAAATGAAAAACTAACACACAAAAAGTGTGGCTAAATATTAGTAAAATTAAAGAAAAGACAACAATAACGATGTATCCCAAACTAATGACTTCATTCCTTCAGCAGCACACACTTGAAGAAGTCAAGAGTGACTTGCTAATTGCCAAATCCAATGTTGGTCCCTGTCTATTGCTGACATTTATTAAAACTTTTTTTTTCTTATCTTGAATTACTGGTTCTCCTTTTGCTTCTCTGATCTTTTCCTTTTTGTGTCCTTTTTTAGTCTTCTTGTTTCCTCCATGTTTGAAATGCTGTTGTTTCTCATGTCTTATACTCTTCTGACCCTGTAACTCTCCTGTTGTCTGATTCCTGCCATGATTTTCAACAGTATGATTTACATACTGACAAATCCCAGGTTGGTTGGTATTTTTTGGTCATCATTTCTTCTTAAAATATGGGCCATATATATACAGGTGTCTCTGGACCTTTCCCCTTACATTTCTTTTGGGCATATAAAATTCAACGTATGCACAGCAAAACTCATACTTTTATCTCTCCTTGCTAATCTCTGTAGTGTTCACATACTCCAAGAACACTGTCCTCCATTTTTTTTGTTGGTTGGTGATATCCCTGTCAACCTACCTAAGGGAGATACTGAAGCATCATACTCAACTTCTTCTTGTTCTTTCAACTTGTATATATAACTACTATCAAGTTCTACTCAACTGTCACTCCCACATGTCATTCTTCTCACCTTTTTTCTTTGTTCCGTTTGGTACTGCCTCAGATTTGGACCACCTATCTTAGGTTATTACAGGAGCCTCAACCTATCTCACTCCAAATTATGCTTAATATTTATTAAAAATATTCTTTCTAGAACCCAATCGTTCTTACTTTGTGCTCCCCCTATGACTCCCATAAACCTTTTCCATTTTATCTATTAAAGCATATGTCTAAAATCTTAGTATGTCCCTTGGTAATTTAATTTCTGCCTACCTTTTAATCTTTATCCTTCTCTACCAGGTTCTTAGATTATTTTCAAATATGAAAGTCAAATAAGGCACTTAGACATACACACAAATAGAAGTGTGTAATTGAGGTTTTATTATGAGCCTAAACAAAAGTGCCCAAGATTAACTAAATATTTGTTTTCAGGTTGTCGACAAGTATACATTGATAATGAAAGTCCAAGACATGGATGGTCAATTTTTTGGACTGATCAGTACATCAACTTGTGTCATAACAATAACAGATTCAAATGACAATGCACCTACTTTTAGACAAAATGCTGTAAGTTTACAATGTCAAAATCTATCTTTTTATTCTATTTGTTGGTTAGTCTGAATAAATACTATAATCTGTTAAACTTTGAAGTATTTGTGTTTATTTTATGTATAAAATCAAAACTGAAAAAGGTAACATGAAACAATGGTGTTATTTAGTACTTTAAAATAATCTACAAGAAGTGTAAGTACACGTATTTTTTTGGAATAAAAGAAACATTGCTTTTTTTGTAAGTTTTTTTATAAAATAGATATTTAATGAATTATTTTCTTTCAGTATGAAGCATCAGTGGAGGAAAATGCATATAATGTGGAAATCTTACGGATACCTATAGAAGATAAGGATTTAATTAATACTGCAAATTGGAGGGCCAATTTTACCATTTTAAAAGGAAATGAAAATGGACACTTCAAAATCAGTACAGACAAATCAACTAATGAAGGCATTCTGTGTGTTGTAAAGGTACAGTAGTAACAAGTAACAACTTGGTAACAATATATTTCCTCAACTAATGGTTTAATCAGCTAAATAGTTTCAGTTCATGGACTCTGCAAGTTGAAAGAGAACTTAAAACCTTTTTAGTGTGACTGTTCCTATCCAATGCCTGATTTTCTTCTATAATTTATTGCCAATTACTAGTCTCCTAGAGTGGGCCTAAACATTCTTAATAATAAGGGTCTCTGTATCTCTATTGGCAGCTTATTCCATATTTGGAAAGCCCTGATTCTCAGAAGTTCTTACTTTAATTGTGCACAAGTTATTCTCTTTCTAATCCATGTCTGTGGTCCTGGTTTTACCTCTAGTACTATTTAGAACAGATCTAATCCTTTTGAAAATGCTGCTATGTCCATTTGAGATTTACTTTCTTTAGGACATATTCCCAATTCCTTTAATCCTTCCATGATGTAGTTAAGAATCAATATTATTCTCATGGTCTCTAGTGTATATGCCTAGTTATATCTGATGCTTTAAAGGTAGTCTGAGGATGAAATATAGTATTACATCGATAGCACTGAATGAACTTCTTCTTTATATATTGTATATTTGGTTGCACTGCCTCATTCTAGGGCTCTAACTTTGAGGGAAGGATAGGCTTTGTTTGGGAAGGACATGTGGTCCTATTTCTAGCCTAGACCAGAAAAGAGTATTGCCCTGTGGGCAGGTTTTGTGGTCATTCACTGATTATTCTTATTGATAGAATAGTCAATAAGAATATGGTGGTAACTTTGGTACACAGCCCTTTGCATTTGTTTTGTTTTTCTCTATAAGAGTTCTTTAGTTTACATACTAATGCTTGTTAAGTTCTGTTCAGAAGTGAATAGTCAAATACATAATCTCAGTGTTAAACTTCTTCCTATTTCAGTTTTCTATAATATGCTTTGCTCAACTTGAATAATAAACACCAACTACTTAAAAATGAAGCTTTATTATTGAAAGTGGTAAGAAAGAAAATAACAAAATGGTATCACCTATTTTGATTTCTTATTGGTTTATTTTTTTATTTAATCTCTCCAAAAAAACCAAGCCCAAAATAAATACCTCAGTGTTTGTGGATATTTAGGAAGTAGATTGCAGGAAGACAGACTGAAAGTGGGGAACTAAGTTAAGGAAGAATGAAAAGCCAATCAAGTTTGGATTATTGAGTGTTAAATCACTGGAGGAACCATGTAGAACATAACTCAGAATTTTCCCCTCAAAGATGAGTCCCTGGGACATTTATCCTTCAGCTCCCATCCTCAGTTTTCAAGCTCAATTAGTTGAAATTTAACACCCCTGTACCTCTGGGTTGGGCTGAGCCTGTCATCAGTTGAAGGAGCTATCTGGCTTTGGAGAAAGCCTTAAATCTGAAGAGCTCAATCATTGGGTGTTTGAGGCCTAAATCTATCAGTGTAAATGAGATCTGCCAATCACAGCTGCAGCTGAAGTTATGGGTGGCTTTGAGGGGTTGTGGTACATAATTCTTTTGAAAAGAGTTGCTATGCATCTTCTCCAGTTTCCAAGGCTGGGAGCTTCCATGGTTGCTTCCATAGTGTGGGGTTTTGCCTCAAAATTGACATAATCACAAAAGATGTTTTGTGAAAGGTTTTTCCTGGCCATCCTTCTTCCCTTACACACACCTTGGTTTTGTTGTTGTTTTTTGTTTGTTTTTCTAGAAATAAGTCAAAGGAGTAGTTTGAAATCTGGAATGAATAGATCATGCCAACTGCTGTAGCTTATGTCAGAGACTCAAGTTCAGACCTTTTTGAGTATTTCCCACTTGGTGCTTAGTCAGAAGGCTACTCCTTAGGTCTTTCTCATTCAAGGACAGGATTCAAGTCCCTCATGAAAAAAATCGTATTATGAATTTCGTTATGTTTAAATCTCATTTTTCTTGCTTAGGGAGGCAAAATTTAAATTGCAATAGGAATTAGTTTTTATTTTAAGTTTGTTTTGGCCAATCCAAAATGATGCTTAATGAATATTCTCAAACAAATGCATTGTAAAAATGCAAAAAGAAGAAGCTTCATCATTAGGTGTTTGTACACATATTTAGTACTTCATTTTTTCCAAGAAGTGCTGATTGTGGATATTAAAAATGTTTTGGCAAATGTATTTGTCAATTATAGCCTAGACCCTGGAATATTCCTTGTTCCAAGTGACTGAAAGCATCAGTTTCATTTCTGGTGAACATCTTCTGGATTCCACTCCAGGAGTCTAGGTTTTAAGCAGTTAGATGGTACCCTTTCCTGCTTTGCCTCTAGCTCTGTTTAATTTCATTTCACAAAGAAAGAGTAGAGAAAATGTTCTTCTTAGACAACCTTGAATGCCTTTATTTCTGTTATTTGGAAAAATAAGACAGCTACACTTCTATGTAAAATTATGTCTTAGTTCTTACATCTAGGATATACATGTAACATTAAAAAACACCTACAAATAGTGTTCATGAACTGAGCACATTGCATGTAAGAAGTAACAAAACTAGGCACTTTATGTAAGTTCTGTATAGTTGTCTTTTTTCCTTTAGGTTAAAGTATTATTATCTCTAATTTATAATAGTAACAATAATAATGATATACAACCTAAGACTGATAGAAGTAAATCAACTCCTGAAATACAAACATATAGTCATCATTCATCTTGGAATATAAACCTGCTTTATGTTGCACCAAATTCAATGTTACTTCATGTCATGCCCCATTAAGCCCATATGGCAGTTCTTATTCAATACAGCCTGGTGTCTATGTGCAGCCTTTTACCACAGAGCCCAATTATATTCTCATGTTCAAACCTGGATAGTAAACCAACATTGACAATAATGGCTAACATTTATTATTTACCAAATGCTAGATATCATGTCAAGTCCTTAACATTGTATCTCATATTTAAATGTCATTGGTAAATTATTTACTTTATAGCTAATAAATGCATTTTTTATTTTGAATTCGTTTTTGAATATGCAGCCCATTTAGAGAGTTCAAAGTTTAAAACATTAAAAAGTCTCACTTTCCTTCTGGTCCCCCAGATATTCAGTTCCTCTTAGAAGAATCACTATATGTTCAGTTTCTCAGATATTATTTTAAAGGCTTTTCATGTATATACAAATGTGTTTAAGTAGTTTTTATTATATCTTGTTTTTTAAATAAATATACCTTTCTTCTCATATTTCTGAGATTGTCACATTTTCATTTGCAATATTCGTGGTATGGGCATACTGTGTTTTTTAACCTGTTCCATATCTGTGGAAGTTTACTCAGTTTTGTAGCTATCTATTATAGATACTATAGAATAATATCCATGGTACGAATATAAAATATTTTAGTCAGTTTCATATAAATGGTAATTTAGGCCATATCCATGGAAATCCTAGTTTTTTGTGATTTCAGAATATGCCACAATTAATAACCATGTGTATGCACCACCACAATGCACAATTGACACGTGGAAAAATTTCCTAGAAATAGAATTGCTTATCATGGACATGGCTGATTTTATGTCATAGAGTTATTGTTTTAATGTTCTTTCCTACTGAGTCTTTTTTCCTAATTTGTGTCTAGAATTTGCATCCACATCCACAGATGAGATTTGTCTATTTTTTCTTGTGTATAATTGACTTTTTCATTATCAATTTTATGCTTGTTTCATAAAAATAATTTATCTCCTTCTCTTTTTCATGTTCTGAAACAGTGTAAAATAGCTCCAACACCACTGAATTAAAAAACTTATTTAACCATCACAGTAACTCCAGGTAGTTGCTACAGTCATTCTTTCTATTTCCAAACAAGGAGGCTGAGACAAAGAGAAGTTAACATGCTTCTATTCTATAGCTAAATAGGTGATCTGCGCCCCACATACATACAGATGTTTAAATGTCTAACCTAGCCAGGACAGAGTGCAAAGCCAGACCTGTCTTCCAGAGTGGGATCCTTGGGTCATGTTCCCTTTTTAGCATAATTAGGTTACCTGGCTTGATAAAGCAATGTCTTCATTGGTACAAAAAAATCAACTCTTACTGGACTTTAATTCACTTCCACTTTTCTGAGATTAGTTTTAAATTATCTCCTCCTTCTGTCCTTATAAAAACTCTTTTATTAATCTCATCGTCTCTTTTTTCCTTGAATCATACATTATTTTCTAACATTTTATCAATAGCATTTGTTTTGTCAATAACATCTTCCTTTCCACGTTTTATGCAAAATCTTAGAAAACCTGAATTCATCACAGAATACCCTGACTGCCATACAGATCTTCCAAATATTATTCTTTTCCTTGGAAATATTTGTGATTGTGTACTTAAGTCATATCTTTAAGTACCATTTAATCTCAATGAGGCATCTTGTATTTTAAAATCCAACACAGCATAATCAGGGCATTTGAAACCTATCTCTATGAGATAAACTATGCACCCAGTGATGTTTAGTATTTTGATTGGCTAAAGAATAATGTAATATGTTGAATACTACAAAGGAATTTTCCTCTTTCAAAATCCTCACTCTTCCTTGTTAGTTAGAATCATGTTCAGAAGAATGTACTCCTTTTACACCCTGAAGGAGTAAGTATAAATCAAGAATTATTCACATTTATTTCTCTTAGCCAAATAAAGCTTGCAGACTGTTTTGTTAGTCTCACTCTTTCTCTCTCTCTCTCTCTCTTTCTCTTTTGGCGATATTGAGATGTTTGAATTTAGGGCTTTACACTTGTTAGGCTAGTGCTCCACTTGAATCATGTAGTAAAGCCCAACCCTTTTTGCTTTTTAGTTATTTTTCTGATAGGGTCTTGTGTTTTTGCTTAGACTTGCCTTAGACCATGATTTGCCTACCACTGCTTCTTGAGTAGCTCGGATTGCAGACATGAGCCACTGTGCCTGCCTAATATCTCTTATTACTAAAATATTTTGCTATTAACAACAAAAAATCACATCACTTGTTCTCTGCATTTACCTGTATGACAGTTTGAGATATCACTACAACAATAAGATAAAGCACTTACTATGTGTCATAGACCTAAATACTACTTCTACAACATTTATACAGAAGAGAAAACTCAGTCTCAAAGAGATTAAGGAATTTTCCCAAATTCACAGCAGGAATGGGGTATAGACAGGATTTGAACCAAGGTCTCTTTGATTCCAAGCATATGCTTTTAAGCGTGTTAAATGGCTTCTCATGCCTGAGTGACCTTGGAAAGTTAGCCTCTGCATTGTCTGCAAAGTGGGAATAATACAAGTCTCTGCCCCCTAATAGCTACCTAAATACATTAACAAAAGTGAAAGTGCTCTGTAAACTACAGGATATCATTTTATTATAAAAAGTCATACCAGGTTCTTGGGACTAGTGATGTAATTTTCCATAAAAGAGAGCACTTCTGCGACTTCTAAGTGTGAGATGATCCAGCCTTTCATCAAGTGCTAGATAGCCCTTGCATTTAGGGTTTTCTTTGGAGGACCCGGTTATTCCCATCTATTTCTCACTGCCAACAGCTGCCCTCTTTCTTTGCATGGTCATACCAACTCACATGATTTGTGAGACAATGTTGAGCAACATCAAATAAACAAATATTAATACTTTGTCCCAGTTTCTGGAATATTCTATGAATATTCCAGAATATTCATAGAAAGTAGAATCTTGTGATTCTAAGATTCAGAAATTTTCTTGACTTCTAAGAAGACTCATGATTATTAGCATATCAAGTTGTTAATACCTGAGTATAAGGAAGGAACAATTTTTTTTAATTCATATGTGCATACAATGCTTGGGTCATTTCTCCCCCCTTCCCCGGCCCCTTCCTTACTCCCCCCCACCCCCACCCTCTCCCCCCCACCCCCTCCATTCCTGGCAGAAACTATTTTGCCCTTATCTCTAATTTTGTTGAAGAGAGAGTATAAGCAATAATAGGAAGGAACAAGGGTTTTTTCTGGTTGAGATAAGGATAGCTATGCAGGGAGTTGACTCACATTGATTTCCTGTGCATATGTGTTACCTTCTAGGTTAATTCTTCTTGATCTAACTTTTTCTCTAGTTCCTGGTCCTCTTCCCCTATTGGCCTCAGTTGCTTTAAGGTATCTGCTTTAGTTTCTCTGTGTTGAGGAAACAAATGTTATCTAGTTTTTTAGGTGTCTTACCTATCCTCATACCTCCTTTGTGTGCTCTTGCTTTATCATGTGATCAAAGTCCAATCCCTTTGTTGTGATTGCCCTTGATCTAATGTCCGCATATGAGGAAGAACATATGATTTTTGGTCTTTTGGGCCAGGCTAACCTCACTCAGAATGATGTTCTCCAATTCCATCCATTTACCAGCTAATGATAACATTTCGTTCTTCTTCATGGCTGCATAAAATTCCACTGTGTATAAATACCACATTTTCTTGATCCATTAGTCAGTAGTGGGGCATCTTGGCTGTTTCCATAACTTGGCTATTGTGAATAGTGCCACAATAAACATGGGTGTGCAGGTGCCTCTGTAGTAACCTGTGTCACAGTCTTTTGGGTATAAGGAAGGGACAATTTAAAAACAATTTTACTTCAGTTTTGATTTTGTGCACTACTTAGCCAGTGATTATTTTTATAAGCAGAAACAGAATCAGAGAAACCATGATTTTTTTACCTTACAGTTTGATGGAAAGCAGTGTTTTATGGTTTTTGCTTAATTTGCTCTCTAAAAATCAATTACAATCAAAGTGTTGATTTAAAACTTTGTGGAGACTGGTAATGCAATTAATCAGCTTAGTACAGCAGAGGGATCATGGTGTGTTAGCTAAGGAAATGGTCCTACCAGACCACGGGTCCATTTTCAGCTTAAATGAATATTTTTTGACCTTAGGAAAATCTGTTTACTTCCTTCTTATCATTTTCTTGTTCTGTAAAATAGAAAGAAAAACAGTATTTCATATCTCATTAAGGTGTAAGGGTTCAGTTAGTTTATCCTCACTACTTAGAGATTGCTGTATATTTAATAATGATTGCCATTAAGCACGTTGTATTTCCCTTTCTCTTCTGTTCTTCCACTGTGAGAGTTTCATTGGATAAACTGCAGACAGTTTCAAAGTATTATTTTCAAATTATCAAAAATGTAATTTTCATAACAATAGGTAGTGAGCATGAGTAAGAGTTTCACTTATCATTATTGAAGGAACTAGCAAAAAGACAAAGTAGGCTATTAAGAAGAAATGAGACCTTAGATGTATTTGATAAAAGGAAAAATAGAATTGGGATAGCTAAGTTAGATGCTTTGTAGGGTAATTAAAGCAGACATTTGGAATATCTCTATCAGACAGAAAATCAATGCATTGCATCTTTTCAGTTTTACTGAAGTCTATGTCTAACTTTACAAGGGTTGTGAAATTCTTGGGCCCCAAGTCACTAGTAAGTAGTCAAAACTACTTTCCTATAGGTAGTCAGATGACTTTTACACCAGACTGTTAGACATTGTCATTATTTTGCAGTATTTTTAGCTTCAGGATAATTTTCCTTAGTGAAAATGAAATATAAAAATATTCCAGAAGTTTTTCCACAACTCTGTAAAACCACCTGCAGAAAGCTTTGGGTGACTCTAGTTATTGGCTTATTAGCACAGATCATTAGCACAGGGGGATAAAAGTCAACGTTGACAAAATGTGAATGTAAATTTATGAAGTATTGTTTATATTCACAAAAATTCACTTGCTATTTGAACTATCAAATGTCTTTTGTACAGATGCTGACAGACTGTCCTTTATTTTAAAGCCATTGAATTATGAAGAAAACCGTCAAGCGATCCTAGAAATTGGAGTGAACAATGAAGCTCCATTGACTAGAGATGTGGCAACCAAAGTGGTAACTATGAACCGAGCTTTGGTGACAGTTCACGTGAGGGACCAAGATGAAGGGCCAGAATGCAACCCTGCAGCTCAATACGTGCGGATTAAAGAAAACTCAGCCTTGGGTTCAAAGATGAATGGCTATAAGGCATATGACCCTGAAACTAAAAGTAGCAATGGTTTAAGGTACAAAGAAATCTGTAATCTTATACTAATAATGCATTCCTCATAATTGAGAAAGTTACTTATTTTAAAGCATGTTATGATAACCGAGATTGTTTTTATTTTTTATTAACAGATATAAGAAATTGCATGATCCTAAAGAGTGGGTCAGCATTGATGAGATTTCGGGGTCAATCACAGTTTCCAAGACCCTGGACAGAGAGGTTGCAACTCCGAGAAATGACTTATATAATATTACAGTCCTGGCAATAGACCAAGGTAAAAATAAAAAGTCTCTAGAATTTTATAAAGGAGTGGGAGAATAAATTGAAATTATTCTTGTGCAGAATTATGGTAATAGTATGGAATTCTTAGAAATTACCTTCAAGACTCTGCTCCTGGCTCTCTAAATCATCCATCATGGTGAACTGCATAGTGATAGATGTTATCTTTTATTTATCTTTGTATTACCAGCATAGATGGACCTAAAGTGCTTGTACAGCTCTATGTTAAAGGACAAAAATTAAAATTAAATCTAGGACTAGATAAAATGGTCTCATTAGATTCTTCCAGATTTCTCTCTCTCTCTCTCTCTCTCTCTCTCTCTCCTCTCTCTCTCTCTTTCTGTCTCTTTTTGAGGGATTGGGTTTTGAACTCAGGGCTTCCAACTTGCTAGGGAGTCACTCTACCACTTGAGCCACACCTCCAGCCCATCCTCCAGATCTTTTCATGCCACTTTAAATTGAGCCTTTAAAAACAATTCTTTGCTTGAATTCTGTTTCATAAAGTAACCCAGAATTACTCAACCTTGGCTATATATTAAAATAAAAAATACCATTGTGTAGACATTATCTTAGACTGATTAAATCAGAGTCTCTGGTTGTGGAGCGTAGTCATCATATATCTTAAAAATCTCCCAGGCTGGGCATGGTGGTTCATGGCTCTAATCCCAGCTACACAGGAGGTGGAGATTAGAGGATTGTAATTTGAGGCCAACCTGGGCAAAAGTCAGCAAAACCTCATCTCAAGAAGCCACTGTGGTGGTCTGTGCCTCTAATCCCAGTTAGGTGGGAAAGGAGGTAGGAGGATTATAGTCCGAGGTTTTTCCCTAGTAAATAATGCCAGACTATGTCTGAAAACTAGACTAAAGCCGAAAAGAGGGAGGGGCTGGAGGCGTGGCTCAAGTGGTCTAGTGCTTGAAGTGCAAAGACCGAGTTAAAACCCCAGTACCACATACACACACACACTCACACACACACCTCCCTAACTGTTTTGAATGTGTACTAGAACTAGAATAACTTTTCTGTAGCCATTTCATTGGTCATTGCCATCTACCTCAGGAACCCAAGGAAAGAGAGTTTGCAGTTCAGACATTTATTTTTATTATTTCATAGAAATTCTGGTAAAAGATTTGCTGAAAGCTGTGCCTGACATATCAACAGTAGTAATCATTTTGGATCAACTGTAGGCTTTCTTCATCTGTGTTCTTATTTACCATTTCTCTGATAATCAGAGTTTATTAAAAATAGATCACACAAGATTTGAATTTGTTTTTCTCTTTAAGAAACTAGAAAACAAGAATTTTAAAACAACATTAAACCTTGCTCTTCCTCCTCTTAGAGGGCAGATCATGTACGGGAACACTCGCAGTCAACATTGAAGATGTGAATGACAATGCGCCAGCAATCCTTCAAGATTACCTTGTGATTTGCAAGCCAAAGATGGGGTACACTGACATTTCAGCTGTCGACCCTGATGAACCCATCCACGGAGCTCCATTTCAATTCAACCTGGCGAACACTTCTCCAGAGATCAATAGAATATGGACTATTGACAAAGTTAATGGTATATAATAAAAATTATGATTTATATGCTTTGAAATAACAGAATAGCTAAAGGATTGATATACTTGTTTACCTACACAAAGCTTAATGCAAACTCAGTCTTAGAAGATTAAATTAGCTTTTTACCAATATTGTGTGCTGACTGTGTTATATATTATAGATAAAATTAAGGAAATTATAACATTTATAGGCAAAATTTCCATTTACAGCAAAGACAAACAGCTTTGTTAAAATATTAGGCAACTTATGGATAGAGAAGCTTTCTGTTGTGTTTTTCAAAGTAATTCTAGGTACAGAGAGACAGGGTGACGTGAAGTTGAAATTGTATTGTGAGCAGACTCTGGAAGTGAGGAATCCAGGAGAAAGAGACAGGAAGATGGTGGGATGTGGGGAGGGACCTGTCACTGGAGCAGTCAGGAACCGTCTGCTGTGAGAGCAGTCTCTGGATTTCATCTGCACTTTACTTTGTTGTTTTGTTACTATGTCACGTTCTTTCATGCAACTGGGCTTTTGCACATACTGTTCTTTTTGCCAAAAATACCTCTTTTCCCGATTCTCAGCCTGATAGTAACTCATAAAATTTATGGAGCATCTATCAGACAGTGTTGCAGACCTTGAGGTTACATAGAGAAATTAATAAAAAGGGACAATCTTAGCTCATATGCTCAACGTCTGTGGACTCTTTCTTGAAGTACAAGGAGAGGCTCTGCTACCTTTTGTGCTCTGTATTGTAACACATTTCTTCTTGCATCACCACTGTTTACCTCTCTCCCCCAACACCTGAGTTTCTCAGTATATTTGTTACTATCTTTGTATTTCTAGTACCTAGCCTTGGGCCAAATAGATAACAACTACTTAAAAAGTGTTTGTTTAGTCAATATTTGCTTAAAATATGTATAAAAGAAGAAACACACTAGGGATAAGTGAATTGGTATTGGTAGAGTTTAGAAAGTTTTCTTAGGAATGTAAGAATGTTGAGTTTGCATGGAAGTGGTAAAGAGACTTATGTGCCAGGCTGAGACTGACCTGGGTACCTCAGGTGGCAGCAGGTATGCCTTGGGAATGTGCAAGGAAGGCAGAGCTATGCCAGATTTGTGTCTTAGAAAGTTGACATTGATGACGGGCTGGGGGAGGTGGTGATTTGTGATAAGGAAAATCAAGGCTGTTTCACTACTGTGAATAAATAAGACATGGCAAGGACTCAGCTTGTGCCTGGAAGGATAAGAGGGACTTGGAAAATCTTACCTTAGACATTCATAGTCCTGAAGTGTCCCAAAGTAACCCAAGTAGTAACTCAAAATCCCTGGGTGCTTTCTGGCTGGAAGTGCAGTCAAAATCTGGAGCTTTCATAGTTGTAACAGTGCATTGATCAAGGCTGAATAATCACAGATGACTTCCAGTATGTATGTGCGTTATTTTGCTTTATCATTTTACTTAGTCTATTATAAAAACTCAAGGAGGTTGCAATTGCCATTGAGAGTCTATACAGCTTTTGCTTAGTTAATAATAACATCATTAAAATAAAATATGAAGACTTTTGGGGAAAGTTGACTATCACAGTTGATGAAAACAAATTGTTATGTCTATGCATCTGTTTATGTGCAAGATTAAGTGACATAATTAGCTTTTTGCTATGGAGATTACTTCCACATGGAAGGCATTTATCATGAAGAATCTATTGTGTGCTTTGAAAAACTGTCTTATCCGCAAGGATAATGGACAGATAGCAGAAGGTAAATGGATAAGAGAATGGGAACTGAAGACAGCCTTCAGTGTATCTGTAGATATGAGTTATTTACAAGTGTATGAACTGGTACTAAGGAAAAATTTTATGTTAAGAATCCATCTAACATTGTTGGTTTGTATAAATAACGGGATATTAAATATTTCTAGAATGTTACTGAGTCACTCCAATTCATTATTATTATTATTTTGGTTTTTTGATACAAGGTCTTGCTACATAGCCTAGGCTGGTCTCAAACTTGTTATCTTCCTGTCTCAGCCTCCCAAGTGCTGGGATTAATGACATGTGCCACCACACCTGGTTCTAAAGTATTTCTTTGTGGCTCTTTTTTACAGGGTTACAAGGGGTACATGCATAACATAATATTAGTGCTTGAAAGGTTAAAGATAGTTTTTTATTTGTACTCCTTATTATGTGGCAGACAATTCCTGGAGAGTAATGCCTTTTAAAGTAAGTGTGAAGAAATAGATGCTAAAGAAAGATTAAATAATGTTTTAAAAATAAAATTCTTCTTTCTTACAGATACAGCAGCCCGCTTGTCATATAAGAAAAATGCTGCATTTCAAGAATATACCATTCCTATTACTGTAAAAGATAGAGCAGGCCAATCTGCGACCAAAACTCTGAGAGTTAATCTGTGTGATTGTACTCACCCAAGTCATTGTGTCCGGACTTCGAGGAGTGCAGGGATAGCACTGGGAAAATGGGCCATCCTTGCGATATTACTGGGCATTGCACTGCTGTTTTGTAAGTACTTTAACTTGAAGTTAAAATGCAAAACAAATGATTTGAGTGCAGGAAAGGATCTTTATAAATTAAATGTGTTCAAGTATCTGTCAGATGTGAGGTTCTTTTAAGAGTTTCTTTTGTGTTATCATCTGAATTCTACTTGCATATTTTCTGTGAAAGAAAACATGATTTTCAGAGATAGATTTCATACTTGAATATAAATGTTGCTAATTCTTTAGATTGCACCAAGTTTTTATTTCTTGGTCTCAGTGCTACTCCATTAAGGGATAACTAGAACAATGTCAAACTTCTGCATATGAAAGTTCATTAAAAGTCATGTTCGTTTCATGTCTTCTCACCTTGCAACCACAGACGTAGGGGAGATGCTCAGATCACAGTGATCTCAGCCTGGCTATAACTTGCAAATTTTGAATTCTATTAACCCCTTCTTGCCAGTTGTGTAATTACCAATGGCACCAGATTCCCCCCCCCCTTTTTTTTTACCCCATCCTGTCCTTTTAGGCTCAGATTAGCATTGTTCTGTGATAAGAATAGTGCTTACAAGCATGATTCTGGAGCTAGACTGCCTGTGTTTGCAACCCAGCCTCATCACTTGCAAGTCATGGGACCTGGGGCAAATTACTTAATAGTACATCAGCTTGCTCATCTGTAAAAGGGGACAACTAGAGTATCTTACCGGGGTAGCACTGAGGATTAATTGAGTAAATGCATGTGTAGTGTTTAGAATATTGTATGCTAAATTTCTAGTGAGTGCTCATTATTTTTAATCAACCCAACAAGATAAATATATATGTGGAATACTTCCTCAATACCAGAAATTATACTAGATGCTTGGAATTCATTAGAGAACAAAATAGACAAAAAATAAAGACTCCTTTTGACTGTAAATGAATAAGTAAAAGGCTGTGGAAAAATAGACAAAATAAAAAGGATCTATTGTGCTCTAGTGCAGTTGAGGGGGGTATGTTGGTGCTAGTGATTACAATTTTCTATCCATGGTTATGTGAACCCTAAATGAGAAAGTTGATGATTTCTAGAAAAGGGGAAAGAGTCAAATGTAGAATGCTTGGCAAGCTTTTAGGTAGAGGGGAATGTTAGTGCAAAGGTCTTGAAGTAGGATTATGTGTTGATAAAAGTAGCATGGTTGGACAGGAGTGGTGAAGGGAAGAACATTAGGAAATGGAACCAGATAGGTAAGGCATAGAGAAGACAGGAGTTGGCACTCTGCTTCTTTGTAATGGACCAGAGTTATATATATTCTAAATATGTTAAAATACATAGGATATATATATTCTAAGCTCTACAGGCATATGGTTTCAGTTGAAACCAATCAAATCTGCTCTTGTAAGAAGAAAGTGGCCATAGGAAATACGTAAATGATGGGTATACTGTGTTCCAATAGAATTTTAGATATAAATGTTGAAATTTGAATTTCATATAATGTGCATGTCACGAACCATTATTAGTCTTTTGATTTTTAACCCATTTCTAAATATAAAGTCTTAGCCCATGGGACATACACAATCGTATTGTGAACTAGATTTGGGACCATCTGATCTGATATGGGGTTAACCAATCTGATATGGGGTCTTGTAGAATTTTTGTTATTACTATTTGTTTTATTATCATATATTTATACTCCCTATAATTATGATGTAGAATAAAAATTCAAAATAGACAAATTAAAAACTAGGTTTAATTAAAATAGTTGTAGATAAAATTATTCTGAGAAAATGGTTTGTTTTGTTATTTTTTCAGGTAGGTAAACCTTCCTTTTGGGAATCAGTGAATCTCTTTAATGTCTTTGTCTTAAATAAATATACTGTTTAACTCATGATTCTAAATGCTTTAATGTGATTGGTAGAATTCGACCCTTTAGCGAGAGAGAGAGGAAAATTGTCAAAATATACATATGATCATTTACATTTTTAAATCTAAGCCAAATTGTTGCCTGTTAATTTGGAAAGACCAAGATAATTCATGAAAAACCATGCTTAGTGGTTTCATTTTCCTTCTGTGGCCCTTAGGTCATAAGAGATAAAAGTCAATAAAGGTCAAAAGAATAAAAGAAAATAATTACTTTATTCTCTGTATGTTAAATTAAGTTGTTTTTGTTGTTGTTCTTCTCAGCTGTACTGCTAACTTTAGTATGTGGAGTTGTTAGTGCCAGAAAAGGGAAAAAATTTCCTGAAGATTTAGCACAGCAAAACTTAATTATATCAAACACAGAAGCACCTGGAGACGATAGAGTGGTGAGTAATCCTTTGAAAAATATTTATCTCAGTCTCGCATAATTTATCCTCATGAAATTATTTCAACATTTTGGAGTTAATTTACATTTTTAATTGGGTAAAATTTATTTGATTCATGAATATTTAAACATTTACATAATGGTATTTATTAAAATTCTGAAACCAGATTTATTGTTTCAGTTATATGTTTTTCACCTTAGTATTATGATCTAAAACTTACTCTTTGATGTTAAAAATTTGTTATAAAATAATCTTTCTGACTTCTCTCTGCAATGTATATGTCCAGATATTCATTATCTAACTCTCCAACCACTAATGATAACAAAAACAAAGCTTGCTAAAAGTTTTCAAGATAATTGGGAAAATGATAAAAAATATATTTTAAAAAAGTGTGTGGAGTTGAAAGATTATTGCTATTGTACTTCTTTAAATATTTTCAGGCCCTCTGAAGGATTTGGCTCTATTGTTTTTTAAGGCAGTATGTAAGAAAGTAATTTACAAAGTATATCTCTCCTCAAAAGAATTTTAATTTATTTATGGGAAATAGAATATACTCTTATGGAAAAGAAAAATAGGTATATGATAGTAAATCAGTATGACGAAGCACTGTTAGAGTTCAAAGATACTTACCATCTATAAGTAAATGCTTAAGGTTTGGATCAACCAGAAAGACTTGGAGAAAGAGGTACAGCTTATTCTGTAACTTTAAGAATGAATAAGAAGGGTCTGAAAGTGAAGTGGTGGTAAGAACAGTCAAAGTGGAGGAAAACAGCATGAAGAACAAGAAGGTGATGGCAAAGTTTAGGACTGTTCAGTAAAATAGGAAACACATTGCTTTGGAATGGAAGAAATCCTGTGTTGGCACAAAGGCTTGAAACTTAGGCACTGGGGGAAAGGATATCAGAAAGAAATGAAGGATGGGGACTTCCTCATGTTACAGATGGATTTGGATTCATTGTCTTGATAAGAGAGTAGTTAAGGCTGTTCTACAGGAGGGTGGCATGATTCAAGCTACGGGATGCTAAATCAGAAGGCGAATCAAGGACAAGCAAGGGGGTGGGGGAGAGAGGGGAGAAATGACCCAAACGTATGAACATATGAATAAAAGAAAACAAAAACTTTTTTAACAGAAAAAAAAAAAAGGACAATAGGAAAACATTTGGGTGGGGAAGGTGAGGGCTTAGGATTTTTTGCTAATTTAAGCATAAGATAACACTACTTAAGATTATGATAATTGGAATATTAAAATTTATTAAAGTCATAAATGAAAAAGTCATTGATTGAATTTGAGGGACAAAGTAAAAAAGTGGAGTGAAAATGGAGCTGTCTCTAGGGACTGCGATGACCTATCTTTCTGTTTCCATGTCTCAGGATAGAGATGCCTTTCTTACTTACTCTTCCCACTATCGACTCCTTCCCACTCTCATGCAAAATGACAGCTCATCTATCACATGGGGAGCACTGTGATTATTTCTATTTTCTGTTTCAGATATCATAGGAGGATTTTAGTTTATATCTGAAAACTGAGTGGATTATCTTTACCTAATATTTGTTCTTTGTCACTTGATGGTATTGATGGGCCACTTCACCATATTTACCTGTTCTCTCTTCTGAATGCTTCTAAAAGGGGCTTGAAATTTCAAAACATATTTTAGGTGAATTTTTACCAATCATGACAAAATTTCATAGTGAATATATAGAATCACTTAGATATATAGTATTCAGATGGGACTAGGAGTTGGATAAAAAATCAGGACTGGAACAGTATATCTGGGAACTATAGATATGAGTAAGGAGTAGGTGATACCCTGTGAAATGCAGGTGTAATGGACACGGAGGGTAGACGAAAAGCATAAAAGTAGCTCTGTGGGCTCAGCATTAATATCAAATTTAGCTTGCTTTCAATTCTTGTTCCATTATCTTAGAAATGTATCTCTGGTGTGTGTTCATTATGAGAAAATTATACCATCAAGGAGATTTAATAATCAGGAATTTATTTTATGTAACAGAATTTTACTGTAGCAGCAGCCTAAGTAAATATAGGGTAGCACTGCCACCAAATGGCTACTTTTCAAGTCTTTTTTTTTCCTGCAATTTTTTTTCTGAGGCAAAAAAAGTCTGCTTGACTTTTGTGGATATGTTTCAGGTTCAGCAAATCAGACTTTAAAATCAAAAGACTTCCAGTTTAATTAGAGACTCTGCACATTAAATGTAAGAAAAATTAAACTGATAAGAAAATAGTGTAATGGAAAGCTTGACTATAATGGAGGTTCTTATCATAAAAGTAGTATGAAGCTTTGTAATTAAGCTGATACACTAAGCTTACTGCTATGACTAAACTTCTGATCTATGGCCAAAGGCTTGAAAGTCCCAGTGTTAAGTTAATGTTTAGTCAAGTTTTTTCTTTTATTATTAAGCATTTCCTTGAGTCTTTCCTCCTCTAGTTCCTTCCACCTCTCTTTTCCTTTAAAACTGAACTTTTGGAAAGTAAAATTGATTTCTCTGTTACATTACTGCTTGTTCCTCAGTTCTTATTCAAAGTTGTTGTGGCAAAGATTACCAATGCCTACTTTACTTGAATTCAATGGGCACTTAACCATATTTGAACTAGTTCTTAAACTCCAATTTGTTTTCCATCATTGACTTTTCTCTGTCTGCTGTAATCCTTTGCATGGTGTCTTAGTTCCATTATCTCAGTGACTGTTCCCGACAGTGATATATCCATTTTTCCCTTATTTACTTGTGAAAGCATGATTTTTCCTTGTGTTTTATCCTTAGTCCTTTTTTTCTTTTAGTCTATAACTTTCTCCAGGTATTTCATCTGTTGCTGTGGCTCCTACAACCACCTTTCTTGGTAATGACTCCCAGAATTGTATCTCTAGCTCAGATCTCTCACCTGAGATCCAAATTCACATTTTCCCATATATATCTTGGACATCCCACACGTTTCTCAAGTTTATCAATTCAAAATGGAATCGGCTACCCTCCTCTAACCCTCAAACACAATTTTCTCTATTATTTCAGTGAATTGTACCATTTATCTAGTTGCCCAAGTAGAACACAAAGGAATAATTGCTGACTTTTCCCTTTGTTGGGCCATCAATTTAGCTCTCTATGGAGTCCATCCAATTTTAAGCATCATTGTTTCTACCTTGGCTTAGGTCCTTATCATTTTTCACCTAGAATAATTTGGCGACTCCATTGAATCTCTGTGATACTAAATTAATCTCCTCCTCCTCATTTTTTCTTCTTCTTTCTCTTCCTTCTGCTTCTGCTTCACTGTACTGGAGGTTGAGCTCAGGGATTCCCACTTGCTAGGAGGTCCTCTACCACTTATTCTATGCTCCCCCCCAAGCCTTCTTCCTTTGGTTGTTATTGAAGTCAGATAGCGCTTTATGCCTGGGCTAGCCTGGACCACGTCCTGCTATTTGTGCTACCTCTATAGCTAGAATGATAGGCACATGTTACCTTGCCCAACTTTTATTGGTTGAGATAAACTAACTTTGCCTAGGCTGGCCTCAAATGGCAATCCTCCTTTCTCCCCTCCTGAGAATCTGGGATTATAGGAAGTGTGCACTACCATACCTGGCATCTTCATTTTCCTTTGACTCTAGACTCTTCTTCAGGTATTACAGTCTTTCTCCTACTCTTTCTGGTCTTTAGCTCCTCTACTTAAAGTTCTAAGGTTCTCCACTTATCTTTTCTGGCTTTGAATTTTAATGCTCCACCTCTATGCTCATATAGCATTCTGTTTTGACTCATAGTGAGAACTTATCATATTCTTAAAAGAAATATCAGTTTTTCTCTCTTAATAGAATAAAAGCTTCTTGGAGCCACTGATGGACTGTGTTATCTTTGCATCTCTATGCTCTTGCATCTGGGCACATAATTGCAAGTAAATATATGTCTATTGAATGAGTGAATGAATAAAAAGTTGTGAATGTTCTGTCTCCCTTAGCTTTTTCTGACTTTACTGGAAATCCTTTTCCTCCTGACATGATTGGTATTGTATTATATTATAGTGTTCTGCCAATGGATTCACGACCCACACTGCTAACAATTCAAGTCAAGGCTTTTGTGGCACAATGGGATCTGGAATCAGAAATGGTGGACAGGAAACCATTGAAATGATGAAAGGACATCAGACCTTGGACTCCTGCCGGGTGGCTGGGCACCACCATACACTGGATTCCTGCAGGGGAGGACACATGGAGACAGACAATGGCAGATACACTTACTCAGAGTGGCACAATTTCACTCAGCCCCGACTTGGTGAAGTGAGTTCCCTGGGTGTTTAAACTTTGCAGTTTAAGAACAATAGTAAATTGAAACTAATGTATATTTTCAGAGGCTGCTTTTCAATGTCCCTTCTCTTTCTCACTTTGGTCATTTTAAAAAACTTCTTGGTTTTCTTACATTATTTTGTTTTAAAAAGTTTCATTTCTTTGTCATATTCATTTATTTCTAAAGTCCCATAAAATTAGATATTTCTAACCTCCCCACTAAAGACTCATTTTTAGGTGTACATTTACCTCGTTCATTCTTGATACAGAAGAATGTGAAGAAAAATTTCTAGTTTCTGACAATTACAAATTTACAAATCAAGTCTATATTTCTTTATGAAAACACAAATATCCCCGTGCAGTTTTAGGATGAAGATTAATATGATTTATTTGTTAGTTTTTGATTTTGTATTTATTCTAAGTTGGCTAACTATAATATTTTTAGGGGCATGGTAAGTGATATTATGATATGTTTACAGTGTTGGATGATTCAATGACCTCAAATAGTCACTTTTTTGTGGGGAGAACATTTGAAATTGAATCTTAGCAATTTTGAAATATACAAAACACTATTATTAGCTATAGTCACCATTACATGAAATGTATTTAACATTATAAAGCACTGTGCAAATATAAAGTGTTTTTATTGACAAGAAAGCAAGAATGCAAAAGAAAGAAGAGATTAAATAAGGGATTCTCTCTACATCAAAATGCCCTAGAAAGCTTCTGAAAAGTACTTTACCCTAAAGAATTCTAATTCTATTGATTCTGCTTTTTCAAAAAAATTTTCAGGTGATTCATATGTGCAACTAGGGTAGAGAAACCCTACATTAAATATTCTTGCTGGTATAAAGTTTCTACCTCTTTTTCTTTTTTAATCAGAGAATACCAGTACCTTTATAGCAAACACTGGATCAGAAACCCTAAATCCTTGGGTGGATGGTGAATGAGCACTATTCTATATTAGGGCTGTAGGTTATCACATGCCTCTAGCATTTTTTTTTTTTTTGCTGTTAAATTCAAGTGTTAACCCTTTTTCTGTTTGAAGATAGTTGGCATTCATGTACGATCAGGTTTGAGACGGAATGAAGCGTAGGGCACACATTTAGGTGTATTCTTCAGTGAGCACATCTAATAACAAGAGTAATGGGAAGTGACAAGGTCATGAGGAAAGGTACTTGATAATATAAGCCAATCAAGTGAGCTCTAGTTTAGAAAGTGAGTGAACAAGCAGGTAAGGAAAGGGTAGAGGTACAGAAATTTGACAAGCTGGCAGACAGGCCAGTGATAGACAGCAATGAAGGTAGATGTGGCTGAATATTTGCTGATTCACTACAAAAACCCAGTTTTTGCAATTTAGAATGTGTTGATTATTTTTAATTTCAGTGAATTTTTTGTGCATCTCATCTTTTGGCTATCTTGGAACTTTGATTCTGAGGCTAAGCTGTAATTCTTATCTACTTCATAGCTGTATGTAATAGTGATTTTAGTTAACATCTGTTGTGCATTGACTTGTGATGGGCATAAGTGTACTTTCATGGAATATTATTTCATCATTAATTTCCAAAATAGTACTGTGGGATGGTCACTGCCTATATTCCCATTTTTGACATGAGGACAGTGAAACTTAAAGATGTTTAGTAACTTTCCCAAAGTAATATAACTAATTGGCAAAGTCAGAGCCTTGATAAAACTAGGACTGTTTTACATTCAAGCTTGAATTCTAACTACAATGCATGTTGTCTCCATTTTGTGGACTAATGTGACCTTTAAACATAAAATTTAGGGCTAGTTCATGATAGTTTAAGTGTACTTAATATGAGATTTATGTACATAATTTTTATTTGTATGGATTATTAAAAGTATAAAATATGTTGATTTTATGGTATGGTTGTGATATAGACCAATCATGTGCATTTTTTGTGTGTAGGAATCCATTAGAGGACACACTGGTTAAAAATTAAGCATAAAAGGTAAATAAAAATAAATTTTATGTTCATATATTTAAGTTGTTTAAAACAATAATACAATCCTTTTTAAAAATTTTACAGAAGTTGCACGCATGTAATCAGAGTGAAGACCACATACCATTGCAAGACTATGTCCTTACCTATCGCTATGAAGGAAGGGGATCTCCAGCCGGTTCCATAGGTTGCTGCAGTGAAAACAGGAAGAAGATGGACTTGACTTTTTAAATAATTTGGAACCCAAATTTCTTACATTAGCAGAAGCATGTGCAAAGAGATAAGATCACAATGCTACAATTAGACATATTACTGCAGACATTCTGGATGTTTCAGAAAGTAATATTGTAAAACTCAGTTACAATTTATATGTAGATGGTCCATGACTTATAATGGCTTGACTTACCATATTTTGACTTTATTATAGTGAGAAAATGATACACCTTCAGGAGAAACTGCACTTTGAAGTTTGAATGTCGATATTTTCCTGGGCTCCAATATGCCGTGTGCTACTCTTTTGCAATGCTGGACAGTGGTAGCAAGCCACAGCTCCCAGTCAGTCACTTGATCACAAAGGAAAGCAAATGACACTCAGTGCTGCACTGTGCTGCTAAGTTACAATGTGCAGTACGTTAGGTATATTGAATGCATTTTTCAATGTACCAGCATTTTCAATTTATAATGTTTTATTAGCACATAATCCCATTATAAATAGAGGAACATCTGCATATACAATAATTTTTTTCTAAATTTTGAATTATGCTCCTTGTCAATTTGTATTTTTGAAGTAATTTGTTGCTTATCTTTTCCATGAAGTGCAAAAAACTAAAATAGTCAACTGGCAAAGCTCATGCTGCAGCATTGGAATTGGGGTCTATAAAGGATCTGTTCTTTAAAGGTATTTTCCCAATAAATATGTCAGGTAAGTATTAGTCAGAAAATGGCTAAGCTATGCCAATACCACATTCATATATATTCACTTCAAGTGATAGTCTAAGAAATAAGCTAAAATATTAGGTGCCACCATTTGAAGAAAGTTTTAGGAAACAGTTAAGACTAAATTCAATTAAAAATTTTGCTGCTCTGAAAACTTCCCACAACCCCACTATTAAATTCGTCATTTGACTTTGGAAACAAATTTGTAGGAACATAGTTTGAAATGAATGTGTGCATAAGTTAAAATATTAATCAATATAATATTTAAAATGAAATGGAAACAAAGAAGAAAATGGCAGTAATTTAAAGAGAGGCTAAGGAGTGGTTTCTCCTGCAGTAGGAAGCCAGGGTTTTGAAAAGATCGAGCTTCTCATGCCTAGTTCTTAGGCATGGTATCTGACGTGACCAGGAAATAGTTCATAATTACTTGAGTCATCTGTTTAGACTTGGAAACAAATTACACTTTTCTGGTCTCAGTGGGAGGGAAAGAGGAAGCTAGGTGGGCAAGTAGATTTTCTTTACAGTCTGTGTAAAGATTTCCATATCCACAAGTTAGAAACAAGCGGGGAAAACACACTACAGCTAGGACTTCCTGCTTTCTGGTGGCAAGGTTCCACAGACGTGTTGCTTTTCATGGGAGCTAATACTAAAACCTTCTTTTAAAATATATCTTTAAAACTTTATCTCTGCTCACATTGAATTCTCTATCACCATTTTCCTTGTCTTTCTTTTCTCCAAACATTTTTATTTAGAGCCAATTAACCATGTCCTCTCAGTCATAGTTTAGAGGCTACATGGAGCTGGGAGGCAAATCTTCATGAAAGCAGGAAGTGGGGTGTCCTTACTCAAACCACATACCTGTTCCCACTTACACTATGTCAAATCAGAAATTGGAGCTGCAAAATTCCCTTTCCCTACTCATTACCTATTATAAATTGGCACTAGCTTGATTCCAGAAAAGCCAGCCCTTGTCAGTCCCCTTCTTTTATCTGTTTGCCAATATTGTCCAAAAGACCTCCAGCAGAGGTTCAATGATGGCAAGAACTCCAGATTTTCAATCATCCATCAGTGTGCATTAATTTTTCTCAATTTGCTTTGTTATAAGGAGTTTTACACTAATAGAAATAGGAATTTAGAAGGCATGAAAGGAATCAAACTGTCATTTAAGAACAAAAGGAGAGTGCAAGCCCAAGACATCAAATTATCTTTTGGAGAGAGAATAAGCCCAGGTGGGGTACTTGGACAGCCAGGGAACAACTTGAAGACCCAGACTTTCAAGACCAAAGAGAGAGGCCAGCAAGGATTGTTAGTGATATCAAAGAAACTTAAACTTTTTTCTAGGCTTGACTTGGCCTTTTCCTTTGTTACCTGGGCCAGTGCAGCTACCATTTGATTTTGGTGAAGTATGAGCCAAGCTCTTCTTCATGCCTCTCCTTATTTGGAGTTGGAATCAAGGAGAGGGCTGACTGAGTGATGAGACTAAGGCATTTTCGACGGGCCTGAACTGGTTGTGCAGAACAAACAAGATGTTCACGAGGAAGGCTCTATCCTTCCTGTAACCCTCTGGGCATTAACGTGACCTTCAGTTAAATATGTATCTAAATTTCTGATTTGATTCTACATTTTAAATTTTCTCATTGGCTCCTGAAATCTATGTTTCTTAGACTGAGACTTTTGAAAGAGTCATTTTCCTTTTAAGTTCTAATTTTAACACAGTCATTTTAACATGTCATATTATTCTTTCCTCACATGTGCCAGATAGATAAAAATTGTGCTATTTTAGTATGCAAGAAACTATCTTTTTCAAGCTTTCATTTTTTTCCAGCGAATGGTTTTGGGTTTTTTTATGTAAGTGTACAGATTATTTTTCTTACATTTATGAGGAAGCAGCCAACTGTCTAAAATGCAATGGGGATTTGTTTTGCAGTATTTTAAACAGAGCTTTAATTTTGCCATTAAAAGACTCTACTTTGCTTTTGAAATTTGGCAGATTACAATAAACAAAAATTGGATGTGTAAAATAATGCTTAAAAATGTAATAAAACAATGTTAACTTGGTTTCTTGTCTTTGCTGTGTTTAGAGATTAAATGATGTGATATGGTCATGTTGTAAAATTGTATTTCAGGCTAAAATGGAATGGAAATTCTAAAGAGAGTTGTATTAGTGGGGAATATTTTATAGTGTCATTAGCAAATTGTCAACATGGTTAATACATACTATACTATTGGGTAGAAACTGCTATTTCAAGGTACAGCCTTACAAATGAATGTAATCTTTATGTGCACTTATGTTAGATTTTGATTTGGTGTGAAAATTATGACAAGGTGGTTGAAATTAAAGTGTTGCAGAATTTGTGCGATGACACAGGACTTTTATTTTGAGGAGCAGTGTAGTCAAGGGAAAAGATTATGAGTTTAAAAAGCAAAAAGCAAAAGTAGGCAATGTTCCAATTTTGATTCTGCCACTTATAAGATAGGTAATATCCAAGTTTTAATCACAGATGATACAACCAGATAAGGTGGTGTATGCTTCACAATCAATACATTTCCCTCACATGTGAACAAGCTCCTTCACAAAGGTAAGGCTGGCCATTTCAAAAATTTATTATTTATATCAAAAGACTTAAATTTTAATATAATTTGAAACAATATCATTTGCAGGAACTTTTAGTGTAACAATGATTTTTTCCTAAGTATTTGGCTTCACAAATGTCCACTGATTTTTGTTGGTAGTAGCAAAACATTAAATAAATTCCAAGTGTCCAGCAGTATTGATTTGTTTAAATATTGGATCATAACAGTTGAAAGCATAGAGCCAGAATGGCTGCATCTGAATCCTGGCAATACCACTTAACAGGTGTATGACCTTAGAAAGGCCACTTACCCCTCTCTTAGTTCTCTCATCTTTAAAATCCGGGTGATAATGCCAACCTCATGGGGTTATTGAGATGGTTAAGTTGGATAATATATTTAAAGCACATAGAACACCCACTGCCTGCACATGGTGGAAACAGTAGTGCGAGATGTGTGTTTTGGAGGTCAGCCCAGCATCTCAATTCTTGTGTTCAGCAAGAGATATCCAGACAAGATGTGAAACTTGGTGAAAGGAATAGCAAAGTTTACTACATTAGAGAGGCATTTTCAGAGGTCAAAGTGGGTTGTCTTAGAGAGAGAGATGGAGAATGATGACCATTTCCACTCCAACACAAGTTTTTAATTGAAGTTCAGGAGCTTAGGGTGTCAAGTTCTTATCCAGGACCAGCCTATGGGGGGTGAGTGACATGAAAGTTGTGAAAGAATTATGACATGTCTCAAGAATCATTCTGTACCTGGGATTACCCATTACTACCAAAAAATAACCCATGGAGGGAGAAAATTTAAAAATACAATGAGATTATTATGACATGGTAATAGGCAAAAGGCAATTCTTAACCTGTTTAGACCAGAACTTGCTTTTCGCTTGGAAACACGTGCAAGGGATTCCAGAGCAGTTTTGATTTTGAGGAGAGTCCAGCCACATTAGGCTTTCTCCTTATCAGTTCACACAAGGTCTTCTCTCTTATCAGTCATATTAGGGTCTCTTTATGTTTTGCAGGTGTTTTATAACGGTGTGGGATCCAAAAGCCTACTTCAATAAAAATTTAACTTGCAGCATTCAAGCAAGTAGGGGGAGAAAGAGTGAACAGGGCCCTAAGCACGGGCACACTGAAACAACGAGCCTCCATTTTAGTTCCCTTTGCATGTCCCGGTTGCTCAAGTCTAACTGCTACCTATCAGTGTATATTAGTTGAATAAACTACAAATCTTCATCTCTTCTTAGGGTAAAATGGGCAGGAGCAGGTTCTTTCCAAACAATGATATTATGATTGATTTATGATTTCTATGTTCATGATGAAATCAGTATTTAAGTTATTTTGTCAAATAATTAAGGCAGCCTAAACAAATTCTTTTCAGTTCTTTATTTAGAATTAGAGTTGGATGCATGAATGGAAAATAGTCAGATAATGTCAAGAGTAAGTTTACAGGGCTCTTTATTCTGACGATTTATTGTCATGCCACATGTTTCAGAACTCAGAACTTTTGTTTTTTCTTTGCTTTTTAAAAAATTGTGGTGAACTTCATTAAATATAAATTTCACCATTTTAACCATTTTAAGTGTAAAACTCATCTTATTTAGCATATCCAAAATGCTGTACAACTCTTGCCATTATCTAGTTATAGAACATCTTCATTGTTGAAGAAGAAAACTTTTTAAGCAATCACTAGCTATTTCCCCATTTCCCCAGGCTTTGGCATTCTCTAATCTTGCTTTCAGTTTCTATGGATTTGCCTGCTGTGGCTGTTCCAA